TGTTGTCGCACGGGGTTCCAAACAAGTATGGAAACGAGGCACATTGTGACGACCACCAAAGCGAAATTCTAAAGTGATTAAATGCGATGTGACCGCAAACTGGCGATTTTCTGTAAAGTACCACGCAATTATGCGATGTCAGCGTTGACTGGGCCGTTCAAATCGAAACGTGCAAGCGTTTTGCTTGCGCATCTCATCAACTGTTCTTTTTTTTTTGTCATCCAGATAACAACCATGACGAAGAAACCGATCAGCATACAATGCAAAATTAAACAAGAGACCAACAGCAGCAGTAGCAGCTACAAAACCTCATCTCCTTAAATGTCAACCAATTATTTTTGCACAGCCTGATACCGAAAAATGGTTCATCGTTGACAACGGCGACGACGACATCGACGGATGGCAAAGTTCTTCCTGTCTTGTTTTTGTTCGCCGTCAATTTATCTGTGTTGTCACAGCTTGCGAATTAGGAATGGGTGCTATGTATTCTGCAAACAGGTTTGTCGAAAGGACAACCGTATTCATCACCTATCGATCCGCATCATCGAACAACAGCCACAGCCGACGCACACAAAAAGTGAGTGAAACAAACAATAAATTGCGTTTTCCGACGAGCTGTTAAAGTAATATGCAAATGGTTTTTTTTTTTGTTATTCTCAAGAATAATTTCTCTCTCTATCTCTGTACCCCGATTGGCAAAAAAAACCGATCGGACCAGCCCAAATGCCTGAGCACTTTTTCTTTCGTCATCGTCGTCAGTCAATCAGTTGAGTGTGACAGTTGTGCGGTCGCATAAACAACCATAACGATTTGTAGCTTATCCCCGAAGTCAAATGAAAGCCCACAACAACAACAACCAAATGAAAAGAGAAGAGGCACAAAAAAAGCCCACGTTCGACACACGAGCACAAGCGCTCATTTCACTCGTTTATATATTGCTTACAAATTCTTTCGCGCTCGAGCTTGTGTCATGTTTGCCCAAAATTGAATGTGAACAAAGCCAATTGCATCGCTCAGCTCAAATGATAGGCAATAGTGAGCGTGCAACGCGAAAGAAAAAAAAACCAGCAACAACAACGGCAGCAGCAGCAGAGTTTAATCATGGCCATACATCACTTAAGAATGGATCACCTATCAATTGCATATGCATACTAAATAAATCGAGTCTAAATAAGCAAACCGGGAGAAACATTTTCTTGATTGTTTGATTGACAACTTGTAAGGTATGTGTGTTTGTGTATGCATTCAATGGAGATTGGTAGCTGCCGTTTGAACTATTGTCGTTCTCGACAGCATTTACTGTTGGTTTGCTGCTTTTTTTTTTCTCTTTCGCTCTATGCCTCCTCACTGTCTCTTTCTCGTTACGTTAAAATCGTAATTTATCGGTATGTGTACGGTCTGTGGCAATGCATCAGCAACAGCAGCAAATGTGCGATTTCAGTATTCGATCTTTGTGTGTACGTCAGCCAGCCATTTATTTAAAAATAAATATTGAAATCGAAGCATCGAATTGCTAACGCGAGTGTACACGAGATGTACCCAGAAGAAAATCGATGGATTGATGGATGGATGGATAGATGGTTGGATTGATGGTTGATTGCTGCCAACTTGAATATTGTCGTATATGGAAATGAATTGAAATTGCATACGACGAACCACAAAGATCACATATCAGCTTACTTTGTTCACATATATTCTTAGGTCGTTTTTTTTTCTGCCGGTGCGCGCATATTTTTTCTCATTTCTGTCGCTCTTCACTCCATGCTCTCCGGTGTTGTCGTTTGGGTTTTTCTCTTGTACGTGCAGAATTTTGTTCGATGCCCGTTAAATTCGAAATATTATCATTGGAACGTCGCGCTCCGTAATGCATAACCATTAACCAAATGAAACGTTTTGTGTATGCAATCAATAGTCGCGCGATCGGGCAGCAAGTCAGTCAAGATGTGATTATGCATCGTGTCGTGTTTCGCAAAGCGAACACATCTCTTCTCTCATTCACTCTCTCTCTGTCACTCACTCATTCACTTAGTCTATGTCTCGCTCTCACTCTGCCTCCGAGTCTCGGCTGTCTGATGTTCGACAAAACACGAATATGGTATTTTACGACCATTTCCATTCGTTCATGTCAATCTTAAAGTGTTTTTTTTTCACCATCGCGCGCGGTACACACAAATCGCGAGATCCAATCCGATTTGAATATATATGTGTTTTATTATAATTTCAATCGCATTCCGTCAACTATTTGTGCAACACTTGATTTGTCGTCGGATAAATGATATGAAAATGGCATGTAACGTTTTTAGGGTTTGGAAAATCGGCTGCTGTACAGAAAGTCGTCATTCATTTCGGATTGGAAATATTTATGTTGGCCTGAAACGGAGTACACATGGCGCAATTGCAATTTTCATTGTGCATAAAATGCAGCGAGGAATTGACCTTTCAAATGAACGATTAAATTGGATTTGCTGATCTTTTGCAGCGGCGATTATTTCCGCGATAAACAAAAACGATCCTATGTTCGTAAAGTCACATCAACAATGTCCAATTCAATATGATTCATCAATTGCTCTTGGCGGTTATCACCTATTTTGACTGCATGGTGAAAATTAATTTGTTATTACATTCAATGCGGGGCAATCTTCAGCACGGCTGACTCGGTGCATTATCGCCATTTCACACACTCTTTACATACATTTTCTCCCTCTTCTGTTGTTGTTTCTTCTTTTCGCTTCTCCGAACGTAATTAAGTTTGAACATGCAAATATTGCCCGCAACAAACACACACACACACACGTCTTGCTCTCGGTTCTCTGTAATCAGTTGGCTGTCAATGAGCGACATTCCCCATTCGTTTGCACGCCTTTGTCGTTCATCGCTTCACTTTTATCTCTGTCGCTTGCCAGTTCATTTCATTTAATCTCAATATCATCGTACTCTCTACGTTTTGTTTGTTTTTATAGTTTTTTTCTTCGGTTTTCTTTGTATATTTTACTCTGTTTTATCTTAGCTAGCGGCAGCAGCCTGTGCTCTGTATCGTTCGCGTTTGGAATTGGTGTTGAGGCTGATGCACATTTTGCAGAGCAAAGAAAAAAAAACACGTTGCATTCAATTAATAGATGTGCTTGTCGTTTGCAAGCACAAGTCATCCGTTATTTGTCAACCGAAACTGGCATATTTCGTTTGCACGATTGCATTTTTCATGTTTTTTTTCTTTCTTTCTAAAGCAAACAGCTCATGCGATATTCTCTCTCTCTCTGTGTGTGTGCGCTGCCTTTTTTTGTTTGTATGTCTTTAAGTCACACTCATTTATTTCCGTCTCGTAATTACACACGCTCTTCGCGCACCCAAGCTATAATTTGTATCGAGTTTCATCGACCGAAATCGGCCCCAAAATTTACAGAAGCCAAGTGCATTCGACCGAAATGCATGCACACTGTAACAACAACAAAAAGAGCAACGTGCAATATTTACCCGATGCATTTTGTACGTGTTTACCATATGAACCTTATTTGCCGTCGAAGCCCGAACAGATAAAATGACAAAATTACCGGAATGCGAATGCGATTTTTATATATGTGCGCTCTCTCTCTCCCTCTTTGAGTTTTAACGCTTTTGCGCGCGCGCTCATGCATTCATTTTGTACAAGAATTTCGTTTTGGTTGTACGAGCGCTCGTCTTTTTTCTCTCTGCCTCTCAACGAGTCGAAGCGAACAGCAGAGAGAAGAGTGCGGTAAAAAGCATAGAAAAAAACGAACTGCAATTGCATGTCAACAAGCAACTGTGCACATTCATTATACCAGGCAGCAGCTCATACAGTCAAAGCATTTTTGCCGATGCAAACATCAATTCTACGCATATGTCGCATTACACCCAGTTCTACATGTACACAACGCTTAATTTATTGGTTAAGTCCTCAGAAATTTGTTTCACGTCAACCAGTTAAATTACGATCATCAATTTTATCGTTTCGACAAGAACGAATTATGCCAATGTCTTTGACAGATTTCTATCGTTCGCCGGCACTTTTTTTTCATTTTTATGCGTGCACAATTCTGTTTGCATTTGGACCACATGAACTGCTTAATCGTAAAATAAAAACCGATGGAATTCGTTTTGCGCTGCAAGCGCACGGAAATTGGCTATTCGCGCTTGATAAATGCTTTTTTCATCGAAATGTTTTCACAATTAAAGACTTCAGACAATGCGATTAATTCAAGCGTGTTTACATGTTAACGGTATGCGTGTGTGTGTGTGTGTGAGTGCGTGTAAAGCAAAAAGCGTGAATATTTTTGGCATACGCATTGGTTCGCCGAATTTGTTAACCATTCAATTTGCACGGATGCTTCGCTTGCACTTTTGCAGTTGAAACTGGGCCAACTATATAATCGGATGCGGGTAACGCATTTTTTTCGCACAATTTATTTTCTGCACATTTAGGCAATTGATTTAATGGTCACCTCTGTGAAATTGACCCATTCATTGAAATGTTATGAAAACAACATTTGGAAAGAGTTTGAATTTTGAAATTTAATAAAATGCAACGCACCTTCTTTCGATCAGACATCAATCACTTTTCAGTTTGATATTGATCGTTGACCGTGGAGTGTGACCTTATTCAAAACAGATCAGTTCATATTGAGTTTTTCAAGTGACGAAAATAGTTAAAGCGAATTCGTCCTGAAATATCAAAATGCGTTCTTCCGCTTTTCTTGTGATTTGCAGTGTTCTTGTGATTTGTCATTTCATAAATGGCTATTCTTGTGCTGAAACATCTGATCACACCGAAAAAGATGTTTCGATTGGTGTTTGCCCAGTTTATGGGAAAGATAAAGAGTAAATTGAAGTGAACTTTCATAACATTAACCATTAGCAACAATAAAAGTTCAATAGATAACACGACTTTCTCTCGTAACAGGAGTGGAACAACCGAAACATTTGATAAGTGTTGCGATGGGTATTACCAAGAATTTAACACTAATTCCACTGCCCTGGTGTGCAAGCCGATATGTGAAGACGAAACAAATTTTTTCCCTACTTCGGATGATTGTGTTAATGGAATTTGTACAGCTCCGGGTGAATGCACTTGCAATGATGGCTTTGAACGAAAAAACAGCAGTTCATATGTGTAAGTGGAACAATTGCGAGATTTCAGACTCAAAAGTTTTTTTTCAACAGCGGTAATAGTTCAAAATTTACTAAAGCTTGACTACATTTTCTTCTTTAGATGTCATGAAAAGTGTAAAAATGGTTATGTTCACGATCCTGAAACCAGCGAATGTGTTCCTTATTGTGATGGTGGCTGTGTGAATGGCCGATGCGTTGAACCAAACAAGTGCGAGTGCAATCAAGGATACAACGTCACAGATTGCAAAAAGCCAAATGAGTCCCAATGTGATGTGTATTGCGCAGAAGTCAACGGAACATGCGAGTGTTTACACAAAGATCAACGTATCGATGGAGTTCGAATTCATAACAACACTCTATCCCTCTGCAATGCAACCACTTCAGTAAATGAAACCCTCTCGCACACCTGTGGTTGCCTGAATGGATTTTACACAACAAATGGAACATGCATCTGTGCGAATGGTTATAAAATGCTCGAGGGATTTGCTGATCTATGTGAACCAGACTGCGGAGAACAATGTACCAGCGGTATTTGCATCGAACCAAATACATGTCTGTGTGATAGTGCATGCATCGCCAGCGCACTTACGGCCGAACAACAGAAGGCTGGAATTAATTGGTGTGATTTTGTTTCATTTTTTCACATTTTCAGTTCTTTTTACTTCAATTTTCAAATGTTTTTTTGTACATTGCAGGGTGATCCCAGGAATCCTGTTGACTTTAGTGGTTTTGGCAACTTTCCTTGGCGGCGGCTCTTTCATTCGTAAACGGAAAATGAATTCATCCAAAGCACCACCCAGACAAAATGGTAAGTTTTGATGTAGCTATGGAATTTGAAATAAAAATTTTTTCACTTATTCGAAAAAATTTCTTTCGATATTCCCTAAAACAAGCATAAATGAACAACAATGTTTCAATGACTTTGATTTTGATTTACAGATGCCATCCCCGATCGATTCAATATTGAAGTTTACTCGCTAGAAGACTTCTGATTCCATTAGCATAACAACTCCAATTAGAGATAAGAAATACTGTGTAGTTAGAGATTTCAAAACGCGTTTACATTTTGATAAATGACGAAGTCTAAGCAGAAGGAAATGTGAAGGATATTTTGATGAATTGTGACTTTTTGTACTTACAACATCGAATTTTTGTACTGAAAATAAGAAATAAATGACTTTTTTTTTACTTTTGAAACCGATTTTGAATAATTCAAACTGAAATGTATTCTTTGATATAAGTATCGAAGTTTCACCAACAAAAACGCATCGTCTAAGGTTTGCGAAATAATTGATCAGTCTTTTCGAAGCTCCTATTCTTGAATTGAGATCAATTTGATTGACAGAATTGCAACTCTTAATATCTACTCGTAGTATTTTTTTCGACTTGAAATCATTCATATGTTGATGGGTAATTCTCTTTGTTGTTCTCATTCTTTTTTTTTTACAAATCAAAATTGGCACTTCATTGCATTTTCCATGTAGGAAGAATCATTTTTGGGCAATATTCAAAAGCGATGTTTTTACGAACGTGTAGGCACAAACCCACGCACTTTTCTCTTTCTTGACACAATCAATACGAGCTTAAAAATGGTCAAATGCACTGGTATTCGTAAAACATGAATGAAAAAATGTGCTCGTGCATGGAATAATAATTAAATTATGATGCGGCGACAAATTGTGGGCGTTAGCGGTCATTGTATTTTGCATGAAATAAAAAAACGAACACAAGAAAATATAATTTGCAATCAGTTGAATTGTAGCTGTTGGCCTTGAAAGAAGGCATTTTTACTTTAATATTTTTCGACACTTACCGAGATTCAATCGCTTCTTGTGAACAAAAATTGAGATAGAAAGAGACTCAGTGCATGATTTAATACGAAATTTATAAGCGTTGAGTAGCTATTTTTACATTGATTTAGTAGTTAATTTATAAAATGCGCGTTTTTACTTTTATTTTGATTTGTCATTTCATAAATGGCTATTCTTGTGCTGAAATATCTAACCACACCGAAAAAGATAAATCGATTGGAGTTTGCTCAGTTTATGGGAAAGAGAAAGAGTAAATTAAAATGAACTTTCAAAACATTAACAGTTCGCAACAATAGAAGTTTAACATCAATTTTTTTCGTCACAGGAATGGAATAACCAAAATATTTGATGAGTGTTGCGATGGGTATTACCAAGAATTTACTACTAATTCCACTTTCCTGGTGTGCAAGCCGATATGTAGAGATGAAACAAACTCTTCCCCTACGTCGGATGATTGTGTTAATGGAATTTGTACAGCTCCGGATGAGTGCACTTGCAATGATGGCTTTGAACGAAAAAACAGCAGTTCATTTGTGTAAGTGGAACAATTGCGAGATTTCTGACTCAAAAGTCTTTTTTCCATAGCGGTAATAGTTCAATATTTACTAAAGCGTAACGAAATTTTCTTCTTTAGATGTCATGAAAAGTGTAAAAATGGTTATGTTCACGATCCTGAAGCCAGCGAATGCGTTCCTTATTGTGATGGTGGCTGTGTGAATGGGCGATGCGTTGAACCAAACAAGTGCGAGTGCAATCAAGGATACACCGTTTCAGATCGTAATAAGGCAAATGAGTGTCATTGCGAAATGTATTGCGCAGAAGTCGATGGATTATGCCGTTGTTTAAAGGAAGACGAACGTATCAATGGACTTCTGATTCATAACGATACTTCATCTCTTTGTATTGAAACCACTTCAACGAATGGAACTATTTCGCAAAGCTGTAGCTGTCTCAATGGATTCTATACCTCGAATAAAACGTGTATCTGTGTAAATGGTTATAAAATGCGCGAGGGATTTGCTGATCTATGTGAACCAGACTGCGAAGAACAATGTATCGATGGTTTTTGCAACGAACCAAATCAATGCCAGTGTGAAAATGGATATGAATTGGGACACAATGAAAATGAAACGAATATTTGTTATCCAATTTGCCAATTTGATATCGATGAAACTCAAGGCTGTGGAAATGGAACGTGCATTGATCCAAATACTTGTGAATGTTATGAAGGATTTGAAAATTATTCGAATAATATCTCCGTCTGCGTCGCAAAGCGATTCAATGTAACCATAACTCAATCTTCCGATGGACATTCGTACATTCTGTCTCTTCCGTTCTTTTCATTCTTCGTCGGCCTTTTCCTAGGAATAATCGCCGCTCTAATTTTTGTAGGAACACTCCATTTTGTCACGCTGTGTGTAATCAAAGAACGAATGGACCATATCAACGTTTGATCGAAAATGTAAGTGACATACAAGTTTGAAGCTAGGCGTTTCTAGTTCATTTCTAAGAACATTTTTCATCGTTTCAAACCAGCTTACATACTCTTTTCATTAAAATTTCAGATTTGCCGGCAACATTAAAGTTTATCTTGTAAAAAATTCATAGAATGAACGAGTATGACTCCGACTACCCCGTTGGTACCGAGAGAATGGTATTATCGATAAGAAAATGATTGTGTTTTGTTGCATGAACAAATGTTCGGTTTTAGATTATGAAATAAAAAATATATTCTCGTAGTACATCGTTGGAAATATTTTGATTTATCTAAGTGAAATTACAAATTTGATGATTTTTAAACTAAATTAAAAGCTAAAAAATGAGTATTTTTTCTTTAAAAATGTAACCCGAACTCACCATACAAACTTTACGTCAAAAGATAAGTAAATTGTACACCAAAACGGTCATCTGCCTTATGATAAAAGAAACTTTCAAGTTTTCGTTCAGGATGAACGTACATGATAATGTGAAATCAAATTGCGAATATCCGGTAATAATAAGCTGATGCTGGGGTTTCCTGATTCTTTTTTCGGTGTTAACATAGAGTGTATCTTAATATGACATTATCAAAACAGCGAATAAAAAGAGAGATTCATTCAGTTCATGCTCCAGTTTCATGTTGACTGTTGACACTGTAGTGAGTGCTTGAAACGAAAAAAGAAGTAGATTTGGCCCTTGTTGTTTTATTTCATATAATCATAAAAATGCGCGCCAACGCATTGTTTGCTCTGTGCTTTTTTATATGTGGCTACTGCGCTATACAAACGATCGCCATCGAAACTACCACCGATTTACCGATGATCATCAGTGAAACAGAAACCGAACGGAATGCCAGTGGCTATTGTACATTTGAAATAAAGTAATAATTTTAATTTATTGAAAATCAATCAACAATAATGAACTTGAGTAAATTTAAAATTGCAAGAAACATTGATTTGTATTCAACGAAAAAATTAATTTCTTCAATAGAAAAAGACAAATAGTCGTTGTTCCGGTGAATTACACTGAGATTGAAAAATATTATGGCCGATGTCATGGGCACTACCATAAGAAATGCTTGAATGAAAGGCTGGTTGAGAAAACGCGCCATGAACATCAGAACCGTGAATTTAACGATACCGTTGTGCGTTGTTGCGATGGATACGGTTCAAATCTGGATAAAAACAAATGTTTGCCAATTTGCGAGCACAGTTGCGTTTATGGAAGCTGTATAGCGCCAAATGAGTGTAGCTGTTATGATGGTTATGAAACAACGAGCAAGTCGAATGTGTAAGTGACAGGAATTTTGCTGTCAAAACTTTTTTCCGAATCTTTTGTTTTCGTAAAATTTGCACTTAATAATTTCTTATAATTGTCATGAATAAAAATTAGAATTAACTTTTTTTTAAATCCCGTCTGGTCTCTAGCTGTCAACCGAAATGCAACGGTTGCACGCATGGTAGTTGCATCGCCCCGTATGTGTGTGCCTGTAATTCTGACTACAATTGGGACTCAGAAAAGATGGAATGTGTTCCAGTTTGTGCTGGAATGTGTGATAATGGCAAGTGTATAGCTCCGGAGCACCATCCCACGTACATTGTTTGCATTCCGCATTGCAATGAAACCTGTGTGATTTTAGCAGCTATCGGAAATATTTCAATAGATTTTGATTTCGGTTTTTTCAGATGAAGCCACCAAACCAATAGCTGATTACGTGAATGAAGACTTGTGATAGACTGAAATAAATACAAATATCTCAATATAATTTAAATTACACATTGGGTCCGGAATGGCACCATTTTTCTATTTTGTTTACACTTCGTTTCAATTAAATTTGAATCGAAGATTTATCGCGGAAATTAAGTTCATCATTGGGAAAATGCATAAAAAGAGAAAATCGTCACATTAAGTGACATTTCACATTGCTATTGACAACTCATTATCATAGAAAAGTAAATAATTTCTTTGTAAGATGAACAAAATCCAAAGTCCATTTTGTGTCAATCTGAGTGTGTACTATTCCAAAGATTATTAATTTCCGTAGAAACGTTATATGTTCCAAATATCAATAAATTGCAAAGTGATTTTTGCTTACGAACTAACAATTTCTTGTAGTAAATAAATTGAAACCTTTGAAAAAATGATTATGTACCCAACTACTCATCTTGATAAACTTTCTGAAGGGAATAAATTTGAAACAAAAAACCGGGCATTTCTCTATGTTAATAACCAAATGGAATATTTGTCAAAAGATAAGCGAATGAACCCAAAAACAATGTATAAATCAACGGTCTTTTGACTTGTAATACCAACAATAAATGATTTCATTTAAACAGTATTTTTGTTGACACAACACTATTGTCAAATCCTGCGTAATGACTCTACATCGGGTAATTACATATAATTTTGGACGGCAAATATTGAATACGAATTTAGTAAACGTGTTAACTATTGTCGAATCTTCTCGAAAAGGCCACGAATGTTTACTTCTTTCCTCTTTTTTTATCACAAACGCGTCTAAGTTTTTATTTAAGATAAAATGTACATAATTACGAGCAGTTAGTTGGACTATGAGTGTCCGGTTACGATAAGACGTTGCTCATGTTTGTCTGATTGTTTTTTTTTTTTTTTTTCAAGGAAACAAAGTGCATCATACTATGATCATATTATCAAAAAGGAGAACGAAAAGGAAGTTACATTTGGTTCATGCTCCAGTTTCATGTTGACTGTTGACAGTGAAGTGAGTGCTTGAAACGAAAAAAGAAGTTGATTTGGCTTTTGTTGTTTTATTCCATATGGTCATAAAAATGAGTGCCAACGCACTGTTTGCTCTGTGCTTTTTTATATGTGGCTACTGCGCTATACAAACGATCGCCATCGAAACTACCACCGATTTACCGATGATCATCAGTGAAACAGAAATCGAACGGAATGCCAGTGGCTATTGTACATTTGAAATAAAGTAATTTTAATTTATTGAAAATCAATCAACAATAATGAACTTGAGTAAATTTAAAATTGCAAGAAACATTGATTTGTATTCAACGAAAAAATTCATTTCTCCAATAGAAAAAGACAAATAGTCGTTGTTCCGGTGAAGTACTCTGAAACTGAAACATACTTTGGCCGATGCCGTGGGTACTATTTTAAGAAGTGCTTAAATGAAAGGCTGGTTGAGAAGACGCGCTATGAAAATAAAATCCGTGAAGTTAACGACACCGTTGTTCGATGCTGTGAAGGATACACTTCAAATCCGGATAATAACAAATGCCTGCCAATTTGCGAGCACAGCTGCGTTTACGGAAGTTGTACAGAGCCGAATGTATGTAGCTGTTATGATGGTTATGAATCAACAAACAAATCGAATGTGTAAGTGAGGTCATGTTTTTTAGCCCTGACGATTTTATCAAAAAATTTCCCACCCATACATACATATGATCAGTGAAAAATTTCATTTTTTTTCTAATTTCATTCCTTCAGTTCTTTTCACAAAATTGTAAAAACAAATCTAAAAGAAATCTTTTTCACATCTCTAGTTGTCAACCGAAATGCATCGGCTGCACGCATGGTATTTGCATCGCCCCAAATGTGTGTGCCTGTAATTCTGGCTACAATTGGGACTCCGAAAAGACGGAATGTATTCCAGTTTGTGCTGGAATGTGTCACAACGGCACGTGTATCGCTCCGGAACAATGTGAATGTAACGCAGGCTATGCTCACCATCCCACGCACAGTATTTGCATTCCGCATTGCAATGAAACCTGTATAAAAGGACAATGCGTTGAACCGAATAAGTGTGAGTGTGACTTTGAACATCAATTTACCAATGGATCACAGAGTATTTGTGAGCCAATCTGCGAAATGTCGTGTAAAAATGCAAAATGTGTTAGTCCAAATGTTTGCGAATGCCACAATGGATACAGTATACTGGATGACACTAAGCCACATGAATGCCATTGTGGAGAGTATTGTGTGGAAATCGAAGGAATGTGCCATTGCTTGGACGATGAGCATCGCATCAATGGCGATGTAATTCGCAACAACATGTCATCGATTTGTACCGAGAATACTTGCGCAAACGGTGTTTGCATGACACTTTACGACTGTGAATGCTATGATGGCTTTGAGAAAGATGAAAATTTCAATTGTGTCGCTGTGAATGAAACGTGTATCGATGAACCGTCTGTCTGTAATGTAACGGAGATAAAAACTTGCAACTGCATCAATGGAATATGTACTGCAAACTTCACTTGCGTCTGTGTAAACGGATTCAAAATGAGCGAAGGGCATAGTGATTTGTGTGAACCAAGCTGCACCAAAGAGTGTGCTAATGGCTATTGCATCAATCCCGATGAATGCGAATGTAATATTGGCTATCGATTGGGTTACAATGAAAGCGAAACGCACATTTGCCATCCAATCTGCGATCCAGAGGCTGAAGACAATAATGGCTGTATCAACGGTACTTGTGTCGCACCAGATACATGCCAATGCTATGAAGATTTCAAACTCAGCGCTGAAACCAACTTCACTTGCGTTTTCGATCCTGTCTATGCCAAAGAACATACGGCCAAAATTCATTGGTAAATACCTTTTTTCAGATTTTTCTGAAATTCTTTTGTTTTACAATGTTTTTGAAAAACGATTTCCAACAATTGGAATTATTTGATGATTAATAATAATCAATGATTATCGTTTTAATTTCAGGCTTATACCCGCCATATCTCTGACACTTATTCTTGTAGCAGCAACTCTTGCCATCGCTTTCTTCAATAATAAACAAAAATTGCGAAACTACAGAATGCCTACGAGAGATGGTGAGCACTCAAATCAATCATAAATTACGTTCTGTTTTAGCAAATATTTGAAAAGATTTCGATTTTTCCAGATGAAGCCAGTGAACCGATCGCTGATTACTCGAATGATGACTTGTGATAGATTCGTTAGAAACGTCAAGCGTGAGGTGTTTGGACAACGATCGACACAATCACTTTGGCTATAGTGAATATTTACAAATTGAACACAAATCAGGAATGTCAATGTACAATAATTTTATTTACTCCAAATAATATCAACAATATTTGAATAGTTGATGATTAATTTGTTCATCGAAGAATTTCTCGTAGAAAATAAGATAAAGAGTATTTGTTAAAGTGGAATGGATGTATGATCGTAGATTTTAGACTTCCTCCTGATAATAAGCAACACAAATAAAAATCATTTGATATCGAATGTGGGTTTTTCCCTTCGCATTATTATAGAGTGACCTTTAAATCAATCCGCATGGACATTGCTTTCTGTGATAAAATATGCACTTTGGACGAACTCTCAGAATAACAACACTACAGCTATTTCTTCTTTTTTACTCAAGTCTATGTGGGAATTCCACATTGTGGGATGATATATACTGGAGATATCACCATGAAAGCACAAATAAATAACAACAATTCTATGAAATTCAGCTGGTGAACGCGTCAGTGTGCAATTGTCGCTTCTTTTTATCGGAGACTCTCTTTCGTACCATGTACATAATTGCACCAAGAAATGTTATCTGCTGATTTGGTTATTTCTTTGTATCGTAAGAACGTTCAGAATGAATGATAACAATATGAAAATATGAAGACAAATGACTAAAATTTTGAGATAGACGTAATCTACCAAAAAAAAATCGAAGTAGAAGGAGTAATTTGGACCCTTGAACTCTGCTTCTGAAACTCTGTCACAGTGATGAAAAACATGATCATTCATGTTCAAATAAAAGAGCTTATTGATTGGCTTATTTGTGTTCATATAAATGAATTTATTTGTCTCAATTGAATGAACTACAACTAAACAACTTTGAAATGAAAGCATTGATTTAAACTTTATGCAAAATAACATCTTGAATTGAGCTCAATATTGAGTCGCTTCATTTTATTAACGTTTCGTCTCGTTCTTTTTTATAACTTATTGATAATTCGCATTCATTTGAGGAATGAGATCTTTTAAATTGATTACAGATGCGGTCACGGTTAAGAATTATAAATAAACTAACATATACGGCTATGATCACCAACATCGATGCTAATACAATTTTCGAAAATAAATCGTCATTTGATTTTGGGTTTAATTTCAATAATGTTTCTTTCAAAACATTCTCCAAAGATTTGTTCTCGTTGGGCATTTCATTTGTAATTTCACTGCTGGTCGGTTCATAAAATATGTTACTGCAACTAATTCCTCGGATGTTTTCCAACCCTGTCTTGGCTGAATATGGAGCAAGATGAAGATGAAGTTTCTCCCAATTGATGGTCGCCATGAAATGATGCAAATAAGAGCAAATGAATGCATTGTCACTTATAGCCAGGAGTTCTAACTGTGGAAATAAGACATTTCGAAATCCACTTAAATGTGATAAGTGATTTCCGCTCAAGCGAAGTGTGTGTAGATCATGAAGGACGGACAAAAAAAGTTTAAAATCCAATTCTTTCAATAAATTTTCTGATAGATCGAGTGAGATCAGTTTGTGTTGATGAGAAAAAGTACCCAATCAAATGCTGCTCATGTTTGTTCGTCTCAAATTCAAATACTCCAAATTCGGCATGTATGCAAAGGTTTCGACTTTCAAATTACCAATTGAATTGAATGATAAATTCAGATGTTTCAATTCGATCGTTCGTCTAAATGTGTCGTCATTCAAACTGGTCAAGTGGTTGTATGACAAATCAATTGTCAATAAATTGCCTGTACGGAAATTATAAAATTGTTTGATGGAATTGTGTGATAAATTTAGCGTTTTCAGATTGATTAAATCTGTGAATAATAATCCGTTTAATTCGATTAAATTATTTTGTGACAAGTCCAAGAATTCGATGTTTTTTGCATCCGAAAATGCCAAGGATCTATCTATTCAATGGAATTATTGCGAAAGTCAATATTTCTGAGCTTGTTTGCATTGACGAACAGATGAGACGGTAATTCTTTCAGTCGATTTTGCGATGCGTTCAAGTCGCTCAGATTGCTTGCTTCTTTAAACACAGTGGTCTGTAATGTTTCCAATTCGACGTCCGAAATATTCAAAGTGTGCAACGATTTGAATACATCGAAGAACTTTATCTGAATTTGATGGAAACGGCAATTTTTTAAATTTACAACACTTTGTATTCCATAATTGTAAAACTTGGACAAAAATGTTACAAGTGTGAACGGTGGTAAATCTGAATAAAAACTGAAACATTGCAAAATCGATGGGATACGTTGGCCATTGGATAGAATAACATTTCCATGTATAATCATGGGATAAAACGACATTTCGAATGCTATCTTATTACATCCGAAAATTTAAATCCACGCAATTAAGAAATTCTCGTTAAATTGCATAGCTGTCTGCTTCATATTTCAAGGTCTAAAAGTCACAAATATATAGATAAAGTTCATTGAATTCGAATTTGATGTAGTCTATAATATTTACTATCATAAACTCAGTTGTACCAAGAAGCAGACAGTCTTTCCGTTGAATCGACCAAGTTTTGAATAACAATCATTTCACAACGAAAAAGTATGAAACCAAGTGCGTGCAGGAAATGTCACATAGCAACACTTAATGATAGCAGAGCATTTTATTTCCATGAAGTTACTTAGCACAATGTCAATCGAAATGTGTTCATTCGGTTTAAATAAAAGAATTTGCTGTTCAATTTGATAAATACATTTTTGTGTGCAACTTTAATGGATTACAGTTAATATTATAGGTACTTGTCAAAATAATTGAATTGATTTTAATTCTAAATATCATCTTGGTGAGAATTTATTATTATAATTATTTAAAAAAAAATACATTTCTCAAATATTCATATGGTTAGAAATACATTTTGTAATATTACAAGAGTAGTGTTTCAGCTCGTTCTGTGTTGTATGTGGCTGATAATGGTCGATCATTTGCAAAATTAGTTCTTAAACACTGGTCGCGAATGCGATCACGGTTAAGTATCAAGAATACGGTGAAATTAGCAGTTAAAATCAAAGAAATCAATACTAACAGAATTATAATAATCGTGAATATATTATCATTAGTTTTTTGGTTTAACTGTGATAAAGTTTCTTTCAAAACGATCTCCAACGATTTATTCTCGTTGGGGATGTCATCTGTAGTTTCACTGTCGGTATGTTCATAAAGTATGTCATCACATCGAACTCCACCGATGTTTGTTTCTCCAGCCGAATGTGGAGCAAGATGAAGACGAAGATGTTCCCAATTGATGGTCTCCATGAAACGGTGCAAATACGAGCAGTTAAATCGATTGTCTGTTATGTCCAGCAGTTCTAACTTTGGGAATAGCGCATTACGAAAGCCGTTCAAACGCGATAGCTGATTTCCTGCCAAACGAAGTGTTTGTAGATCATGGAGAACTGGCATAAACAGCTTAAAGTCCAGCTCTTTCAATAAATTCACCGAAAGATCGAGTGAGACCAAATTATGTTGATGCGAAAAAGTGCCCAATCGAATGCTGCTTAAATTTGTTCGTCTTAATGCTAAATACTTCAAATCCGGCATGTACGCGAATATTTCGACTTCTAAATTCCCAATTGAATTGAATGACAAATTCAAACTGTTCATTTTGGTGGTTTGATTAAATGTGTTTTTGTTCAAATCCGTTAATTTATTAAAGGACAAGTCGAGCACGTGTAAATTAGGCGCACAGAGGGAATTCAATTCTTGAATTGCATTATGTGATAAATTTAATGTTTCTATGCTCGTCAAACATTTGGATAACTGATCACTGAACTCGGTTAAATTATTTTGGGATAAATCCAAGAATTCGATGTGGTTTGCACCGGCAAATGCCAAAGGATCAATTCGACCAATTGTATTTTTGGAGAAGTCAACATGCGTGAGATTTTTTGCATTCACGAAAAGGAGAGACGGTATTTCTTTGAGTCGATTTTGCGATGCGATCAGCCTAGAATTGCCTCGGTATCGTAATGAAGAATAGAGTTTTCTTTATTTATGCCACCACAAATGAATTCAACAAATCTGCAACCTGTGCAGTCATGATCAGTGGAATCACAATCAAAAATGTGTTCATATTTCGGCGAAGAAACTGCACAATTTAAAATATTTGCGAGAAGAAATGTGAAAAAACACAATATTCGGTATTCCATAACTGTAAAACTGGGACAAGTATGCTATGTGTGTGAATAGCTGGAAAACTGAATAAAGACTAAAACATTGTGCAATCCCATGTATGATAGGGTAGAGGGATCTTTTGTACATGCAATGATGGAATTGTCGGAAACATATACACAATAAAATAATTGTTATCGACATTACAATTCGTAATCTGTTTTGATCCTTCCGTTAAGTATAAAAAGAAGTATTTTTTAAAAGAACATTCAATTTTTTGCAACTCATTAACATAATCATACTTTTGTTCCACTTGATACCATCAACTCGATTGCACCATCAGTGCGACACTATTATATCAGACTTTTTAAAAATTATATTTGATTATGAATCGCAACATGAAAAACATGAAATCAGCAGGAAATATTATACAGTCAAGCGATAACCAACTTTAACCCATATGAAGGTTTTTGTTCGGATCATTAGCTGAAAAACACTTTATATAAGAATTAAAGAAAAGCCATTTGAAATAATTTGATTTGATATGATCAGACTTATTCACTGAAATTTCTTTTCCATTTTTCAGCGTATAAATGTAATGACGATAATTATCAATATGTGTGGGTGTTATGTCATATTTATCGCTTTACAGTTTAGAAATAAATTAAAGCGTTGACATGCTTTGCGATTTTATCGATGTTTTTTTCTTTATTTAATCGAAAATGCAAACGAATACATCATACTTTTGAGCCTTTAGTTTTAAGTAAAGTTGAGAATATAAAAATCGTTACAAAAGTCAAAATTTACAAAGCTTACAAATCAAATAATATGTGTTTCTTTTATTTCTTCAATTGTGTGACATTTTCAAAATTCTTGTTCAGAGTTTCTGGATCCTTTAGTATACAATACTTCATTCGAGAATTCAACGACTTGGTTCGAATGTTCTGAATTTCCTGAATAGTTTACTGTGGGTTGATTGGCAAATCGATGCCGATTTAGAACTAAAAACACGATTAAATAGGTTGACATAATGATGCAAATAAAAATCAATGCAATTTTAATGACGAAAATATCATCGATCGATTTTTGATCAGTTGTTGAAGTGTTTGACCCAATTTCAGTCGATTTATTTGGATTTTCCACTTTGAATGCATCTCTTCCTGATTCAGGCTTATTGTTTTTAATTGCATTATTCATATCTCCACCAGCCGTCCTATTTTCATCGAAATGCACACAGTTGATGCCCCGAATGTTTGCTTGCCGTGTATTGACCGAAATCGGATCGATGTGAAGGTGAAGTTTTTCCCAATTGACCGTCTCCATAAAATGTTGCAAATATGAACAGTTGAATTGGTTATTTTTCATGTCCAATAAGACCAACTGAGGGAAAAGTGCGTTTCGAAATCCCTTCAGCTCTTTCAACTGGTTTCCGCCCAAGAAAAGTGATCGTAAATCATGAAGAACAGGCAAAAACACATTGAAGTCCAATGTTTTCAAATTATTTTCGGTTAAATCCAGTGAAGTCAATTTGTGTTGATGTGAAAATGTGCCCAGCTGAATGCCGGATATATTCGTGCGTCTCAAGTTCAACTGTTCCAAATTCGGCAAGTAGGCAAATGTGTCAATATTCAGACTTCTAATTGGATTGCATGACAAATTCAAATGTTTCAAATAAATGCCGAACGTGTGCTCGTTCAAACTTGTTAGATTGTTAAATGATAAGTCCACCGTCGCTAAGCTGGGTGTAGAGAGTGAATTTGAATCAAGTTGATCGATGAAATTGTGTGATAAATTGAGTGTTTTCAGCGAATTGGCACCATCAAAAGCCAACAGGTCGACGCTTTTAATTGTGTTATTTGAAAAATCGACAAAACTGAGATTTTCAGCGTTGACAAATAAATGGGCCGAGATTTCCGTCAAATAATTATTCGATGCCACTAAAGTCGTCAATTGCTTTGCATCACGAAATGATTTTATTTGCAACGTTTCCAATTCCACATCCGATATGTTAAGCGTGTGCAAATATTTGAATACTTGAAAAAAATTCCGGTCAATTTCACGAAATCGGCAATTTTTAAAAGCGATTGCACCATATCTTGATCGATAATATTCCCCGTTCGAACACTTAATCGACTCGGATGTAGTAGAAAATAATTTACTCTCGTTATCACTTTCGGTGCACGTGAAATTCAAATGTCGACACCCTTGATCACAATTTTCAGCCGAATTGTCACAGGCACTGATGTGTTCATATTTCGGCGATGAAATGGCAAATTTGGCCGAAATGTCGGAACAAATGACGAAAATGCAGAACGTTCGAAGATTCATTGTGCTATCTTCTGAAAGACGGAACAAAAACTAAGCAAAACAATGGAATAAAATGAAGTTATAAGTCGTATCGAATAAGTTGGAGTTAAGATAAACATTTATCTTTAGAATGGGCTATCGTTTGCTCTAGCAAAGTGCACGCTTGCACTTGCGATCTAGACCGTCTTGCCAGAGCGGAAGGGAAGAATATGCAAGAGTAAAGCGATATGATAAATAAATCAGCCACAAAGCGTGTAAGCCTACGCACTGGATTTGTTTATTTCAATTAAGAATGGGCAAAAAGGGCACAATTTGCAGATTCTTTCAATGATTCAATGTTTCATCAACGCAAATTGTTTTTCAAAGATTGTTGCATTTGCTGTGAACAGCAATTTCTTTGTGTTTGGCTTATCGATAACCCGAACACAAATGAATAATCTTCATTTGAAACCACGTTCAATCGGATGATTTAATTAAAATGACCAGATTAAATCTATGGCTCATTTTATCATTATTATTTATTGGATAAACATTCCATCTGCTGATTTAGCGAGAAAAAAAGAATCGAAATGAGATAATAATCGGCTAGGAATGGTCAAACGAAATAATTTATCCATCAGTTTCAAAAGGTAAGAGATTTTTCTATGCGCAACATTTTGAGCCGTTAGCAAATGGTTTGGAAAATCTTTCAAACGCGATGACTGATAAACCAATAAATTATTGCTATTCATTCAGCCCCATTAGCGATGCACAAAACAGAAGCACAAGAGAAAAAAACAAGCCAATTAATATTATATTGTCATTAAAATGGTACAAAAGCGACGTTGTGTGATAGAGCAATGTGCTGTTTGCTGAATGACAGCCATTTAGAACGGGCTGCTAGTGGAATTCATTCATTTTGGGTTTCCGTAAAAATGGGTGAAATTTTTCTTGTTGATTAAATGCAACGGTATCGCTTATTCCAGTTCATTGATTCGGGCATTTGTAATGTAAATCTTGACAGGCTGAAAAATGCATGCTCGATCAACTATGAACAACATATGGATCGGAATGGACGCATTCGAAAATTTATGAGTGCATATAAAATAGATGATCGTAAATTAAGCGTCGAGGTCAGACACACACACACCGAAGGCATTGGAGATAAAGGTAATTTTTTTTAAAATAGAATATCGACTCAATGACTTAAACATTTTGAATTTACACATGAAAAGAAAATGTAAATGAAATGGTCGGCATGTTATGTTTCTCTCTCTCTCTCTCTTGTCTAAGAAGTCTTTGAATGACAATATGTTGTAATATGCTTTAATGGGCAACGATTATCATTTTATTTATTGATTTATGCATACAAGTCTACTAATCACATTACAACTCAATTCGTTATCGGCAATTCAAATGGCATTGAGAAAAAAAAGAAGACAAACGAATAACCAAATAACAAGCGAAACGAAATGCGAATGAAATGTGCTTGTATGGTGCAGCAGCGTGTTGAAAGGCCAAACATTGCGTTATCCATTCGAATACAAGATCACCACAAAGATGAAAGCAATTTAAACGGAGCAATCAAAAGAAACCATATTTTAAATAAACAATCGACAACCAATCACACAAACATCGGGTCGATCGTTCTTAGGATTGGCCGCGTGAGCGAGAGACTGCGCGCACCATTCACACCACATCAACACAAGATGAGACAGAGAGAAAATGTGCCGACAAAGAAACAGTCGAAATCAATTGATTTCAACGGGGCTAATGTAAACAAACTGTCACATTTTAATGTTGATTATGTCAAACATAAAAGACGAAGATTCGAAAATGTTTGCGCGCGCCCGCGCCCGTTTGCGTTCATCAAGTCATTTCATTCGTTTTGTTTTCCAATGAATAAATGCGTACATAAACATAAATATCCGAGTAACAGCGCGAGACGCGAATGACGTTGATTAAAGCAACGAGAAAAAAAAGAAGAACGAATTGTATTCAACCGATCCGAATTTAATTCTCGAGATGCATGCAAAGGAGCTGCCGCAAATGTTAGCCCGTTTTCTTTTTCTCTGTGTATGTCTCATTTGATTCCGGCTTTGTAGATGTGTTCATCGTGCTGAAGACGGAGTTTTGAAGAACGTGAGGCGTCAACAGTATTTGACTTGACATATATCGTATATATCAAAGCAATGGCTTAGTCCGTTGGATGTTTGCCGACAAAATCAACTATAATTATCATTTTCACCATTTCGATCGATTGCTGTTGTTGTTTTCATAACAAAGACCCGATTTCAATGGAACATGACGCGGTTGAAATTGTGTCTGGCTCAACACAAAATAACACAAAATAACACAAAAGTGTCGATCATTTTGGTTCGTTTTTTTTCCGCAAAATAAACACGCTGATAGAAACGTTTTGTATTTATATCAAAACAAGAATTCAATCCTTCTTTTTTTATTCAATTTGGAATGATCGAAAGGTTTTTTCGAATGAATTTTTTGTATTTCAGAAAGTTCGATTCGAGCTCGTAAGCCATTAAAGTGCTTGCACAAATGCGACGTTGATGCCTCGTTACAGTGATAAAAGGAATCTCTGGCTAATTTATATGGTTGTTCTTCCTCTTCTCGAACGATGATTGTTAATCCATTTAACCGCTCTGGTTGAACGGGCGAACAAAAAGTGGATTTTCTTATCAATTCGACAAAAAAAAAAACAAAACCAACAACCAAAGAAAGACACAATCTTGAAATGTTGAAGTTTTTCCTTTCAAACTGTATGATCGAGAAAAAAAAACTGTTGTGATTGCCATAAATTTGAATGGTATCGACGCTTGTCCATTTAAAATTTACGATAAAACCAATGGAACTGTCCAATTTCAATGAAATGCACATTTCAAAAGGAATGAAACACGATGGAAGAAAGATCGAAGAACTAAAAAAAAAACACACACACCAACCATCGGTCTGAAATCCAATTACCTCGTTTGACAACACACACGTTCAATTCACGTCGTGATTGATTTATTACAATGCGATTCGTAATTAAAGAAATTTTTTTTTTCGAACGACCAACAAAACAGACAAAAAAGAGACTGTCATTCGGTTGACACATAGCAATAAAAACATGCCCGACGGCTTCGAATTGCCCGTTTCACACACAACACGCTGCAATGATTAATGCGCAGCAATGGATTTTTATGCAGCATTGGGCCAAGACTGAGAACGAAAAGGAAAAAAAAATGGAAGTTCAAGTATTAATTAAGTGCGATTAATGGAAACACACTCACTGGCACAGGGCTTTAAAAATAATCACATTTAGCCATTTTATTGGTGAAAACGAACTAAAGTGATTTTTAACTCGTTTTACGATGCATAACTGCAACTAGTGCAGCATCAAAGGTGTTTAAATTGTATGTACTCACGGCATTGCGGCGAAAAAGGAGAACTGGTTATCTCATTAAATTATTTGATCATCATGGCTATAGAGATGCATGTTTCACTGATTACCAACTGCATATATGCAGTCTGTGTTATACGTTATCGCATCATGTTCTCGTGAAAAGATAATAAATTCGTTTCAATGCGCGCGCTCGCACGTACAATTGACCGGCTGGATGTTCTTGAAGCGCAATCGATCATTTTGTTGCATGACGGAAAAGAATCCAATGGAGAATTTGCAAAAGGGGCAAGTACACAGTAGATTCTATACTAAGCAGCTGCAAAGAGAGTGCGAGATTGTTAATTATTTTTATGGGATTTTTGTAAACATGATTGAATTAGGTGCTGATGCAACTATTCAATTCAAGTGGAGAAAGTGCAGTTGAGATGATCATCAATTTAATCTAAGCAAGGTAATCGAGAAATCAAGAATCTGTTAGAACCCAGCAAATTGATGAAGAATGATCAATTAAATTTGGTCTTTTATCTTGGGTCAAAACACAAGTTTTGGAATCGTTTTAAATGAAACACAACGAAATGTGTTGAGCTAAAAACGAAGACTTTTGATCGTTTCGGTGGTCGGCTTTGATAAAAAGGACTTTCAATCGGCAAAAAAGTTACGTTGTATTTTCATTTTAATTGCATCCTCCGGCGCTTTTCCATTCACATTAATCCTAGACTTCTCATTCTACCGATCCCGTTACCGTATTTTGATCGAATAACGGTGAAAAGGGTATCTTTTTCCGCTGCCGAAGAAATCCCACTTTAATCAAATTCCGATTAACATTCGAAAAGATAATGTTTATATTTTAATATCCGTTCGCTTGGCTCTTGTTTTTTCTGCGATCATTAATGCGAATGCGTGATCATTCAATGTAATAAAATACCATTTATTAATCAAATTTACGGTTGCATCGTAACGTGATTTCGGTCAAAGTCAGTGGAAAAGATCTGAGGAGAAAAGTCAAGTCTCGAAAAAAGAGTCAAGTCATGAAATGTGGCAAACAAAAAAAAAACTGTTGATGGTTTCCCTTTTGGCAAAATGTATTTCCGAGCGCACAAAATTAACCAAAATCCACCCATCACACGTTTCTCATCTAATCAGACGGTGATTAGCAACGATCACGTGCACACCATAAGGTCATTTTCGACGACGACAACGAGAAGAATGGATAGAACAAAACAAAGAAAGAACCAAATCACCGTAGAGTGAGACGAGGACGTTTTTGGGATCTTGTTCTTTTTTTGGTGCAGTTTGTTATTTTCATCTTTATTTAGCAATTAGATTGCATGTCCGGCATCGAAGGCAGCCGACAGCCGCTGTATAGTCTGAATTGATTTGATCGTTAAGCATACACACACCGAGCGAAAACGTAATTATGAATTAACAAACCATTTATTATTCTGTCTGTTCTATTTCCATTAATGAACATGCTTTGGGCGCCACTTTACATTTTTGCTGTGTGTCGATTTATATTTCACAAATCCGTGTGTGAGAGTCGAGAGTGAGTGTGTCTCGTCCATTGTTTTGTGCATATATTGAAAGAGAGTGATTTCTCGGTTGGTCTCAACCGCAGACAGGCACTGAGTCTGTCGGTCGGTTGGTCGGACGGTTGATTTCGTGTATGTGTTGCCGTTTTGTAGCTGTCATTATACGTGCGATATAACTTGAGCTTGAGCACATAATCATGTAATATAGATTTTAATCGGAACGGCGAAAGACTGTGGCTGCGGCCACAACAACGGAAAAAAAAACAACAACCAAAACACCGAGAAAGAGAGATTGTGTTCATTTTTCTTTCCCTTCATTTTTTTCTGCTTCTTTTGATGATTTGAGCTTTTTATTTCGTGTTTTGTTCTCACTTCATTACTATTATTTGTTGACGTGCATGTTTCTGCATGCAGACAGCGATTCATTTCTAAACCAAACGATAATTTTCTCATTTTACATGTTGCTTTTTTTCCCTGCCTTGTTGTTGCTGTTTATGCGTTTGCCGTGTTCACGTTTCAATTTTTTTTTTCTTGAAACTTAATCACATCATGAAATGAAAAGAAAAAAAGGCGATGGAAATAAAAACACTAACCGACTACTCCTTTTCGTTGTATCTAATTCAATATTGCATTAAATTACACATTTCTCGCATAATAATGATCATCATGCACATTGCAGAAATTATGAGCGATAAGTCAAGACCGCAATGCCCTTTGTGCTCGCGGTTCTCTCATTCCATCCAGAGATTTTTTTTTATCTTTGTTGCAAATTGCATTGTTGCATTTCACAGCGCTGATTTTTCCACCTTTTTTCGACATTGATTCGCATATGCCAAACGAAAGAAAGAGGTGGTTTTTTTATGCCTTCGAAACCTTTTCACAAATGAAATTGTTTTTTTTATTGTAATCAAGTTGGGTAAAAAGGCCCTTTTGGCTTGATTGAAATCACATGTAATTAAGCGATATTTGCGTGATTCCGCCGACAGCACAGCTATAATAGTGCCAACTAAACAAGCCGCTTTCAGCATTAATCACATCGAAAGGAACACATCGCCGTTCAGAGAGATCATTATAATCGCCTGTTTGCGCTACAAAACATAGATATTATCCGGATATTATTGTTCTTTCGTTTATTTGTTGTTAGGCGCGGCTCTATTCTGAAGTTTGCGGCAATCTAGATTACGGATCAACCATTCTCCACATGTTGTAATCCATGACCCATGGTCAAGTGGTTGCATGACTGCATATGAGTTCCCATTTCCGAATCGCCTCACTTTTTGATCTTGATTCGTGATTAAATTGAACATAATAACTTTCTCAGACCCATCAAATCGGATCGAACTCACGTCAATCTTTGGCATGCATTTTTAATAACGTTTATTTAACAAAAGAAGTAATTTTGATTTGGTACTGACCTAATCGAATTTATTTTTCATTAACGTTTCTTCATAAAAAAATGTATTTCAATGGTTTTTTTGATTACTTTCAAATGATTTATTTTTCTTTTGAGCAAAAATACAATTTTTCTGAACAAATTAGTGACGTATAATTGTTAACAATGATTTTCCGAACTAAATAATCAAACATTCGGTAGGAAATGGATATCAATTTTAAATATTTCATGAAAATCTATCAGAAAAAATAAATTTTCATCAAATTGACATTAGATTAAAATTCAAAGTCACTATTCAAGTAATAAACTTTCGGTTTTATATTCCACATTATGTTGTGATTGTTTTTCGTGGGCGTTTCTCTCTCCATTTGGACGAAAAATTCTTTCTCGATTTGCTATCACGAACATAATTAAAAATGACGACATAATTATGCACATAAAAATGAGATAAGTTTCGCCATATAATTTTTGTGCTGATTTCGTGGATTTAAAATCCTTTGCCAGTGTTTTGTTCTTAAAAATTGGTTCCTCAACCTCTAGGCTTGATTGAACTATAGGATGACATTTGATGCTTCGGATGCTGGTTTCGCGCGGTTTCACTGCCGTTGGATCGACCGGCAAACGAAGTCTGTCCCAATTGTGAGAAGTGATAAAACGTTGTAAATAGGAGCAATTAAAATCGTTTCCTTTGATATCCAGTTGAATCAACTGTGGAAAGAGCTTGTTTTCAAAGCCACTCAAATCGGACAGTTGATTTCCGGCCAGTGATAATGACTTCAGTTCGGGAAGAATGGGCATAAAAAGATTGAAATCTAGTTTTTTCAAATGATTTTCGGACAAGTCAAAAAAAACTAACTTCTCATGATGTGAAAATGTGCCGAATTCAATGCTAGTTATGTTTGTGCGCTTCAAATTTAGGTATTCCAAATCGGGCATATAAGCAAATGTTTCGATTTTTACATTGCCAATTGGATTGAATGCCAAATTCAAATACTTCAGCTTCGTAGTTTTATCAAACACGTGCTCCAAACTCGACAAACTATTGTTGGATAGGTCCAATTCCAGTAAATTCACTGGCAAACTAGTCAAATCAATGCGGCTGATGTTGTTGTGTGACACATTCAATTGTTTTAACAACGCTAGATCTTGGAATACTTTTTCATCGAGTATCGGTATAGCATTTTGCGTAAAATTCAATGTTTCTAACTTATTTGCACCCTCAAAAGCTGAACTATGAATCATTTGTATGCGATTATACGAAAAATCTAGGAATTTTAGCCTATTCGCATTGAAAAATATGTGCGATGGTAACTCAGTGATTCGATTATGATCAGCGATCAAATGTGTCACATGTTTGGCTTCACTAAACACTTTCATTGACAAATCTTCCAAGCCCACATCCGAAATGATGAATTTGTGCATATATGGAAATAATTCGAAATAATTTCGATTCAATTGTGGAAATTGGCAATTTTGAAAATCGACTGTCCCCGGCCATCTGTATTCTTCTGGTCTTCGATTTGAGCACTGAAATTGAACACTGAGGAATATTTTTTGCTCATTTCCATTTTCGGCACATTTGAATGTGACATTGTCATAGCCCGGTATATATGAATTATCATAAAAATGACAGTCACTGATTTTTTCAAACTTAACGGAACAACTGGCAAAACGTGCAATAATTAGAAAAATTAGACAATTCACGGCTTTCAAAGCCATGATTTCTGATCTTTTGAAACCAAATTATCAAATACTTCGAAAGGTTGAACGAAGACTGATCGCATGTTCGATGTGATTGCAGCAAAAATCTCTACGAATGCAGTAATTTTATCATTTTCGAAAGGATGTTCAAATTCCGTTCCGAGCATGGCTGTACCACTTTGCATTTTTCATGATATCTGAATGTGCTCTTTGGTACAACAACTAAATGGATATACAACTTTGTTTCTCCTTATCGGTCGTGATAAGGATAAAATATGACCAAATTTTGAGTTGGTCGTTTGTTTTCTTCAAACAAAGTAAAACAGACAATTATTGCAATTTTTTATTTATTTCGTTTAATTTTTTGCTTTTAAATTACAGTACATGAATTAAATATTAAATGAAAATGGATTAGAATTGATGGGTTTTTATGAAATTCTTAAATTCGAGAAAAGATTATTATCGTTCTTTAATCAGCAGCATCTCGGAATGGTTTGTAAATTCGACGGTTTGTTGAGCTGGAGATGGTTTATCAGTTTTCTCATGTTGAAACGTTACCGACTTTCCTAGTCTTCGGAGTTGTTGAAAGTTTGCAACAACGTACAAAATGATGAATACCGTAAGCATGATGCAAATGAATCCAAGGTACAGATGAACGTATAGATCGTTATGGAATGTTTGTTTTACATTGAAAGTAGACTCAGTCGCCTTGTTTTCTTTTGATTCAATTTCAAGACGAGCTGCAACCAATGCTTCGGGCTCAATCTTGTGATTATGAACAATGGTTTCACAACAACAGTGATTACCATCCACTGGAATATTGGTTGCTTCGGCCTCAACTGTTTGATTGCCAGCTTCACATCTAATGCCCCGAATGCTTTTTTCTCCTGCTTTAACTGTTGGATTACCGATTGGAAGTCGAAGCTTTTCCCAGTTGACGGATTTCATGAAGTTTTCCAAATAAACGCAGTTGAATTTATTATCTCTAATGTCCAAATGTTCCAATTTCGGGAACAGAACATTTCCAAAGCCAGACAAATTTGTGAGTTGATTTCCGTCCAAATTCAATGATCGTAGATCGGGAAGAACCGGTAAAAAGTGATTGAAATCCAATTTCTGCAATTTGTTCTCAGATAAATCCAACAATGTCAACTTTTGCTGATGCGAAAATGTTCCGAGTTGAATGCTTGCAATACCGGTGTTCTTCAAGTCCAACGTCTCCAAATTCGTTAGATAAGTAAATATTTCAATTTTTAAATCGCCAATCGGGTTGAATGACAAATTCAAGTGTTTCAACTCCGTGATGTTATCGAATGTGTGTTCCTCAAAAATGCTCAAGTTATTATTCGACAAATTTAGTTCCGACAATTTTGGTGTGGAAAAAACTTTCGAATCCACTTGATTGATGTTATTGTGCGATAAATCCAATGATTTCAAGTTGTTAGCGCCCATAAATGCCAATGGATCCACTTGATTAATTGCATTCCTTGAGAAATCAGCTCTGGCTAATTTTTCAGCATTGAAAAACAGCAACGGTTGAATGGCGGTCAATTGATTGTGCGACACATCCAAATGCGTGAGATTCTTTGCATCACGGAAGTTTTTCGTTTCCATTGATTCGAGCTCGATATCCGATGCGATGAACGTATGCAACGAGATGAATAATTCAAAGAAGTTGATTGAAATTTTACGGAATCGACAATTTTTGAAGTCTATTGTCCCGGGCCATTTACGATCTTGGCTCGAAACATCCGCACACTTGAAATGATTTGTGTCAACAAAAACACTGCTTTCACCATTACTTTCGCCACATATAAATGTTAAATTATCGTCACCAGCCTTTGGTCCACGATTGAAAAATTGACAATCACTGATGTGCTCGTATTTTAGAGAAAAAACGGCAAAATTTGCAAGAATCACGGAAAATATCGCCAAAAAGTAAAACAACTCCATTTTTCAACAGGTTTGCAGAGCGAAGTGCTTATAGCTCGAGAGCACCGGAGATAACTGAGTGATTTCAGTGACCAGTGGCCGAATTTATATACACACATCATTAAAATTCAATTAGTTGTTCTTATTACCAACAATCAGAACAATTTTTGGTGTTTCTCCTCTTTTTTCTATTCGAGACGGTATAATTCCTTTTATGACACCTAAAACATTCGGAGCCGACGTCTGCAATATAATTATCAACATTTTGTCGTTGACTCTTTGAAATTAGCATCGCAAACGGAGACAAGATCAGATGAGACATTAGATATTTGTCTGTTTTGTCGGGGTAATAAAGGAGCCTTATTTTTTCAATGCAAAAAAGGAACAAATATGGAACTTATCGACATTGTTTGAATGAATTTTGACGACATGCAGCTAACTGTATTTTAATGCATTTTTTTTTTGCATTTGCTTCATTTAATAAACAGTGTTGTCAGCTAAAACCATGGCTAACATTAATCGTAACTCAAATTAAAAGAGCGAAATGCGCATTAGCGATTCAATATTTTCTATTATTTGTATGTGAGTGAGCGAACAATTGAGCCATATTATATGTAGAATGCAACAGTGTTTCAGACTAGACTATCGAGGCGCACCAATACTTTTGAGTTCTGTATGTTCATTCCTGTATACAGTAATACGAGAATATGCTTTAGTATACAAAATTTGTCCCCTTTATCGCAATGTTTGTGTTACACAATTATTTCTTTAATTCTTCGAAATAAGCAATGGAACTACTTGACAGATATGATATGAAGTATGTGCAATAATTATAATTCTGTCAAATTTGAATTACGATGAAGCGGAAATTTAGAGTGATCGTGTTTTCGTGACTAAAAAAAATGGAATGTGTTTGGATCTCACCAATGGTCTCTGCTAATTAATCAAAATAAAATGCTATTTTCATAAAAACTTTAAATATATTCCAGTTGAGCAGTAGCGTTTCCTATTTAAATTAGAATATATTCTATTATTTCGTTTGAAAATCGTACAGTCACTCTAATGACGTTCACACATCCGAAAGCGACAACGACAATGCCAACTCCTATCATTTTCCTGTTGGCGTTGCAAGAAATTGGACGAAGATTGTTCATAATTTGAAGTAGTTAACAAGTTATAGAAATCGACTTTGGTTAAATTTAAATTCGTTTTATTCCTTATTTCCACCACCTTAAACTGTGAAGATTCCATTTTGGGATTGATTGAATGATATAATCGAATTGAATTCATCAAGTGAAATAAGCGATCAAATCTGAATTCAATAACAATGTCGTTTAATAATACTGAAACTAATGGTGAAATTGATCATTCGGGTAAGTATTGCAATGAAATCAAATGCCAATTTTATTTTTAACATTTTGTTCACTTTTTTCATGCTAAAAAGATGAATTTTCGCAACTTCTTAACAAAATTTGCATGAACGACGAACATGCCGATGTGTCGTTCATCGTTGAAAACATCAAAATACCAGCGCATAAAATGATTCTATCAATCAGAAGTTCCTATTTCCATTCATTGTTTTGTGGTGGTTTTGCTGAAGCAAAACAAGCTGAAATTAAGTTAGAAGTTCCATTAGACGCATTCAAAGCGATTTTGAAGTACATTTACACCGGATGCTTATCGCTGACCGATTTAGAAAGTCATCAACTAATCGAAATTTATGATATGGCAGAACAATATGGTTTTGATACGTTGAAAAACATCCTATCGAAATATTTAACAGCTAATGTGACGTTGGAAAATTGCATTTCTATTTTGAATGCAGCTCATTTGTATTCTATGGATGATTTACAAGCCACATGCTAGGGGAATTTATGTATTCGCGAATTGACAGGAATTCGCACAATTCGCACAATTCGCACGCGTTTTGACTTCAAATTCATTCAAATATTTCACGAATTTTGCGAATTTTTTGCGAATTGGTCAAATCCAAACATTGACAGCTGGCGCCATCTTAGTTATCATTCGCAGTGACAAAGCAGCGAATGTGAACAATTCGTAAAGAATTCGCAGAGAATGTGCGAATTCGTAACAAAATCACAATGAAACGATCGAATTCGATAGGTTCAACTGACATAAAAACCCCTAGGCCACATGTATGACGTTTATGGACTGCCATTCCATCGAGTTGCTTGATCACGACACCTTTAAAACATCATCACTCACTTCATTATGTGCTTTACTGAAGCGCGATACATTCTACGCGCCGGAAATCGATATTTTCAAAGCGATTTGGAATTGGTCAACAAACAACCCAGATGATGATATCAAGGTAAGCTCCGATTATCATTTAATTCTAGTCAATTGTTATTCGTATAAAGTTCCTTTCACAATTTTGAATCTAGGAGGCGCTTTCTACAGTACGCTGGTCAACATTGGATATGATTGATTATGTGAATGTCGTTGAACCAAGTAAAATTTTGAACCCAGCTCAACTTGCACTTATAATGAGCGGAAGCTGTGGATCAAGCAACACAACTGGGCGTATCAAATGTAGTCCACAGGGTAAAGATCGTTTTTTATTGTGTAGTTTTGCTAGTTGACCACAAGTAACTTCAGTTTCATTTTCTAATTTAAAGATTTCAAAAAGGAAGTTGAAGAAAATATTGCAACCACAGAATACGGTGCGAAAACTGTTGCTGGTGAAAATCCAGCATCACTTTTGAGTGGTAATTTTACAGATTATGATGTGAATAAAGGTAACATATACAATGTCTTGGTTTAACGTTTATGATATTGACATTTCACTGGGTGAATATTTCAGGTTGTACATATCATGCAATAGATGAAAACAATTGGAAATTGTATCAAGATGAAAATATGTCGAAACCAATAAGTAAATCTATAATCGTCGACTTGGGAAAAGTCAGTTTCATAGATACCATCATTTTTTTGTTAATGGATAAAGATTCCCGTTCATATTCATACTACATTGATGTGTCACTTGATGGTGAAGATTATAAACGTTTGTTTGATCACACCAATAATTACTATAGATCATGGCAACATTTGTATTTTCAAACACGTCCTGTGCGCTTCATTAAATTGGTTGGCACACGAGCCATTAATATATTGCAGGAAGAAAATGCATTTCGATATTTTGTGAGAGAGTGGGAAATGGCGTCCTATAAGCCATTTTGTGTGGTTGGATTCCAAGCAATGCATAAAACAACTTTTCCCGGAGGTTTCCCTGAGTTTATCGATGGTTTCATGAAGCCAAGGAATAACTTTGCAAAAACTGAATTTGGCACAACTATTCTTCAAGGAGTGGGCGCTAATAACATGTTGAATGCAAATCCCGATGAATTCACGTGCCACGAAATTGGGTCTTACATTTTATTACAATTTAATCAACCGCTCTACATTGATTCGTTCCGAATGCTGCTTGGGAATAATATGAATCGTTTGAACAAGTATTCGTTTTATATTGAGACATCTTTGGACAAAAAAAATTGGAAAATGGCTGTTGATAAACGAAATGAAAGCCTGTCAGGATGGCAGGAGTTTGACTTTGAATCTCGTCCAGCTAATTTCATCAAAATAACTGGAACTCAAAACGACGTTGTGAGTATACATTGTTGGTTTAATTAAAAATATGGTTCTTTTTAATGTTCTCTTTGATATTTCTTCATTTAGAATTTTATCTGTACATATTTTGAGTGTCCAAGCAATCCGGAAAAACCCAAATTGATATCTTCGCTTAAGAGAGAATAAAGTACCGACATAAATGAATTAAAGAACAATTCATATATATTGATTTTGATTATTTTGATAAGTATCATTTTTCTTATAACTAAATCAATCTTATTCAACTAACGATAACTTGTTCTGTATTCAAAGGATGAACTTGATAAATGATGTATTTTCTAATGTTTTTGTCATGTGGGCATCTGAAAATATACATTGAAATTATTATTTCATACGATTTTTATTTTATTCTTAGTGATTCAATAAATTTCTCACTATATTTACATATGTCCGCTATTCCAGACAGCATATTACTTGAAACATTCAGCACCGACATCTGCATCATGATTGTGATTTTTTTTTACTATTTTCTTTATTTCAAAAATATCATTAGCATCACAATATCACAGACTACAGCGAATCTAAATGAGTCATATAATGTATTTTTCATTGGTTTTATTGAGATAATGAAGGAACATCGTCATTATAATATTCTATCTGTTTTCAATACTCAGAGTATAGTTAATCAGTAAAAAACCATACAACAAATATGACGTCATATTGATTATTCAAATATGTATAACGAACAACGAAATCTTAATTTAGAGTGACCCTAATTTTAGAATTTTGGCAACTAACATCAACAATTTTTCAATATAAATTGATATTTCAATAAAAGAACATTTTCATAGACTAATAGAGTTATTTACTGAAATCGGAATATGACCCATGTTTCGTGTTTATTTAAATGACGGCTACTCTAATGATGTGCACACATCTCGAAGTGTGAACAGCAATACTAGCAACTCTTATCACATTTTCTATTCGTGTCAAAAGAAACCGGGCAACAGTTGAAGGAAAAAATTGTTCGTGTGAGTTTCAGTTCGTAATTGGTCATATAATTAGTAATACGCTTGATTGATTGAATTCGACTGCTTTTCAAAGTAGATTTAGAATTATATTGTTTTGTATTGGCACCATTTTAATTGTGTTTTTTTTTTTGGGAGGAGTAAATATCATTTTAACAAAACATGGTGATCAATGATATTCAAGACAATGGTGACATCGATCAATCGAGTAAGTTCTGCATTGAAACGAGTGTTGTCAAATTACATCGGCAGAATTTTTTTTACTTTGATTTCTGCCAATTACTTTTTACAACAACATTTCCTCCTATTTTTTTGATCACTTTTTAACAATTATTATTTTGACTTAAAAATAGCCGAAATATTACAACTGCTTAATGATATATGCATGAACAACGAACATGCCGACGTGTCGTTCATCGTTGAAAACACCGAAATACCAGCGCATAAAATGATTCTATCGCTACGGAGTTCCTATTTCCATTCATTGTTTTGTGGTGGTTTTGCCGAAGCAAAACAAGCTGAAATTAAGTTAGAAGTTCCGTTGGACGCATTTAAAGCGATTTTGAAGTACATTTATACTGGATGCTTATCGCTCGCCGCTTTGGAAAGTCATCAAATAATCGAAATTTATGACCTAGCCGAACAATATGGATTCGATACATTGAATAAGATTATTTTGGAGTATTTAACAGTCAATCTGACGTCGGACAACTGCGTTTCAATTTTAAATGCGGCTTATTTATATTCTTTGGATGATTTGCAAGCTGCGTGCATGAACTTCATCGATTTCAATTCGACCGAATTACTTGATCACGACACTTTCAACGCGTTATCACTCACGTCTTTGTGCACTGTATTGAAGCGTGATACATTCTACGCGCTGGAGATTGATATTTTCAGAGCAATTTGCAATTGGTCAACAAATAACCCAGATACTGATATAAAAGTAAGCACCGATTGATTGAACCAATTCTGGTTCTATATTACGTGCATCAAATTCCTTCCTCTTTTCAAATTCAAGGTAGCACTCTCAACAGTACGGTGGACTGAATTGAGCATGCATCAATATTTAAACATCGTTATTCCTAGCAACATTTTAGATCCAACGCAACTGCTGCAAGTGATGATCGCATCGAGTAACACAGGAGGCCGCATTCAGTGTCGCAATTCGAGTAAAAAAGTCTTTGGTAATATGTCGTTTTGACAGAAGAGTAACTTTATTTCGTTCTGATTTAAAGATTTAGAAAAAGACGTTGAGGAAAATATTGCAACCGCTGAATATGGTGCGAAGACGATTTCTGGTGAAAATCCATCGGCACTTTTGAGTGGTAATTTTACGGATTATGATGTGAACAAAGGTATTCAGTGTCTTTCATTTCAATGTCCAACACATTTACTGACCAAAGTGAGTGAATATTTCAGGTAGTACATTTCATCCCGTAAATGCAAACCGAATTCATGACGGTGTTCGGCAACAGCCACTGGATTCGTGCATAATCGTCGACTTGGGAAAATTGCGATTCATAAACAATATCAATTTTCTGTTGATGGATAAGGATTCCCGTTCATATTCATACTACATTGATGTATCGCTCGATGGAATCGAGTACACACGGTTATTCGATCACACCAAGCATTACTATAGATCATGGCAATATTTATATTTTCAATCTCGTCCAATTCGTTTTATCAAATTGGTCGGCACACAAGCCACTGACATATTGCGGAAACGAAGTGGTTTTTGTTATGATCGTGGGTATAATTATGCAGATTCCTATGATTCATTCGACATTGTCGGATTACAAGCAATGTTCACAACTATCAACTATCCGAATTTGGTTGATGGTGTTATGAAGCCAACGAAAAATGTTGCAAACATTGAACATAGTGCGATCGTTGTTAAAGGTGTAGGTGGGAACAACATGTTGAATGAGAATCCTGATGAATTTACGTGCCACGAAAAAGGCTCTCATATTCTATTGCAATTCAATCAACCGTACTACATCGATTCATTGCGAATGCTGCTTGGGAATAATATGAATCATTTGAACAAGTATTCATTTTGTATTGAGACATCGATGGACAAAATAAATTGGAAAATGGCGGTTAATAAGCGAAATGAGTATCTGTCAAATTGGCAAGAGTTTGACTTTGAACCACATTCGGCTATTTTTATTAGAATAACTGGAACGCGAAGTGATGTTGTAAGTATGAGTTTTTAATGTATATTTTTAAGTTTTAGCAAACTACGTGACAATTATCAATTCCTTTGGCTTTTTCTTTTTTTAGAGTTTTATCTGTACCTATTTCGAATGTCCATGCAATCCTCGAAGACCCAAATTGAAGCGCCCTCTTCAGAGATGAAAAAAGCATTGAAGTAATAGAAGTAAATGCATGAAAAGGGAATTATCTATTTGAAATCATAAAATAGAATAAAACGAATGATATTACAGTCTAAGATATTGTGAACTTTATTTCTTAGTTTGAAAACGATATTGTACATGAATATCAATACCTAACAAACAATACTTCGAAGTCATCAAGAATTATGTATGTACTTATCCAAAAGAATGAAATCGGGGTATGTTCCATGTTCGGATTCACAAAAATCGTACAGCTGCTCTAGCGACACTCAGACATGTTCAAAGTGAAACCAACAACAATACTATTGATTCTTTTCATTCTTCTGTTGACATCCGAAAATTGTTTGAAAAACGTGTTCACGTGATTTTTTTGTTTCGACTGTTCATAATAATTCGAAGTATTTCAAAAGTCGTACATTGAAGTGAATTTACAATAATTAATTCCTCGTTTTGTTTGTGTATTTGAGACACAGTGTATATTTGAGACCAATTTTTCTAAAAATGTCGTTTCAAAATAATGGCGAAATTGATCAATCGGGTAAATATTGCAGTCAAATTAAAGCTAATTTCTCGTTTTGAATACTTTTCTTATTTAATTAACAGATGAAATATTGCAATTTTTAAACAATATTTGCATGAATGATGATAGTGCCGATGTGTTGTTCATCATTGAAAATACAAAAATACCAGCGCACAAAGTGATTCTATCAGGTCGATCTTCATATTTTCAATCGTTGTTTTTTGCTGGCTTTTCTGAGACAAAGAAACCTGAAATCGAATTAAAAGTTCCGTTGGACGCATTTAAAGCGATTCTAAAATACATTTATACTGGATGCGTGTCCCTAGCTACTTTAGAAAGTCATCAAATAGTGGAGATTTATGATCTGGCAAATCAATATGGCTTCGATACACTGAAGACGATCATTTTGGAGTATTTAACAGTCAATCTAACGTTGGAAAACTGTGTTTCAACGTTGGATGCGGCTCATTTATATTCTCTGGATGATGTGCAAACCTCGTGTATGAAGTTTATGGATTGCCATTCTAACGAGTTCCTCGATCATATCACTTTTAAAGAGTTACCACTCACTTCACTATGTGCCTTACTGAAGCGAGATACATTCTACGCACCGGAGATCGATATTTTCAAAGCGATCTGCAATTGGTCAACAAACAAACCAGATGATGATATCAAGGTAAGCTTCAATTTACATCCAATGTTGGTCATTATTTAAATATATTAAATTGTATCTTCCGCTCGATTTTGAATTTTAGGAGGCGCTTTCAACAGTACGCTGGTCAGAATTGAGCATGGATGATTACTTGAATGTTGTTGTACCAAGTAACATTTTAGATTCAACTCAACTTTTAAACACGATGAATCGTAAATCAACTAACAAAACTGGTCGTACACAATGTCGCATACCATGTGAGGCACAAACAACTTATTCGGTATATAGTTTTGAAAAGAGAATTAATTTGTTTTTTTTTCTACTTTAAGATTCACAAAAACATATTGAAGAAAATTTTGTAACAACTGAAAACGGTGCGAAATTTATTTGTGGTGAAGATAAACCAAATTTTGGTATATATAGGAAATATTGTGTATATCATGCAATAGACGGTAAAGTGTATTCTAAACCTGAACTTCGTCGTAGCAAATATCTGCAACCAAAGGATTCATCTATAATTGTCGACCTGGGTGATGTCCGATTCATAAATTATATTAAAATGTTATTAAAGGACGATGATTCCCGTTCGTATTCATATTACATTGAAATATCACTCGATGGAAAAAAGTATACAAGATTATTCGATCACACCAAGTATTACTATCGGTCTTGGCAAAATTTATATTTTAAATCACGTCCAGTTCGATTCATCAAAATGGTTGGCACACGCGCCATTAACATAGAGAAAAAGCGAATGGCTTATAAATGGCGAAAGATCGAGTACAACTCGTTCGACGTTATGGAATTGCAAGCAATGTTTACCAAAAAGAATTATCCAGAGTTCGTTGATGGTGTTATAAGGCCAAGCAAAAATGTTGCTAAAGTGCAATGTGGCGCTTCTATTGTTCAAGGAGGCGACGGTCATAATAATATGTTGAACGAAAATCCAAATAAATTTACGTGCCACGAAGTTGACTCTTACATTCTATTACAATTCGGTCAACCATACTACATCGACTCGTTGCGAATGCTGCTTGGCAACAATATGAACCAATCGAACCAATATTCGTTTTACATTGAGACATCGATGAATAAATCAAAATGGCAGATGGCGGTCGATAAACGAAATGAAACCCTGTCAGGATGGCAAGACTTCGATTTTGAACCGCGTCCAGCTATTTTCATCAAAATAACCGGAACGCAAAGTGATAATGTAAGTATTGTTCATGTGCTAAGATTATCTTCCAATAGATAGATTAAAGATAGCTCAAATGTTTAACCTTCTCTTCAACATTTTTCAGAGTTTTCTTTGTACATACTTCGAGTGTCCACGCAACCTACAGAAGCCGAAATTTAAACAAAGTGAATAGAGGTAATAATCCATCTTCCGGGGAAAAAGTAACTGAAGCCAAGAAAATGACAGAAATAACAGCTTTTAATCAGAATAAATGTTTAACTTTCATATCAATTACACAGTTTATTTCACCAAACTACTTTTAATTTACAATATCGTCTTTTGCATTCGTGAAAGGAATTTAATAAATGATTAGTATATTAAATGATCGAAATCAACTAGTCAATTTTATTTCAAATCTAATGATTCACAACAATGAAATGCAGTTGTACTTGAATATGATCGACTCAAACATTTCCTTCTTCAATGAATACTGTCTTCATTTGCATAATCAAAATTGAGTGCTGCGGACGATAGTCTTCCGTTCAATGGGCGAGAATGATTGGATCTGCGAAGGTGATGGCGAATTTGATCTATATTCAAGGTCAAATATACTACGAGAAACGTCAGCATGACAACGCACATAAAAATCATAAAAAAATTTGTGAAAACATAATCATTCGATTGAGCATTTCCATCCTTAGTCATGGCTTCATTTGCAGCTTCATCAATTTCTTCTGCATCAGGAATATTATTTGGATTTACAATTTCGCATCTAATTCCGCGAACGTGCGTTTGACCTTGCGTAACTGCTGTTGGATCAACTGGAAGACGAATCTTTTCCCAGCTGATGGTCTTCATGAACTGAATCAAATATGAGCAATTGAAATTGTTATTCTTGATATCCAACAGTTCCAATTGTGGGAACAGTGCATTTCCAAAACCATCCAAATCAGTTAGTTGATTTCCGTCCAATTCGAGTGATCGTAGATCATGCATAATCGGCATGAAAAGGTTAAAATCCAATTGTTTCAGAAGATTTTCAGATAAATCCAACGAAATCAATTTATGTTGATGGGAAAATGTTCCGAACTGAATGCTGGATAAATTCGTTCGTCTCAAGTTCAACACTTCTAAATTCGGTACAAAATTGAATGTACCAATTTCCAAACTTTCAATTGGATTATCGGACAAATTCAAGCTTTTTAACGAAATAATTTGATAGAATGTGTTTTCTTTTAGGTTCGTCAACTCGTTGTTTGATAAATCCAATGTCAATAGATTGTGCGTGGATAGGGTTTGTGGTTCAAGTTCATTGATTTGATTGTATGATAAATTCAGGACTTTTAAGCTCGTTTGATCGATGAAAACGTCAGCAGCGAGCGATGTAAGTGCGTTTTGCGATAAATCCAATGTTTCGAGACTGCTAGCACCCGTGAAACCCAAACGGTCGACTCGTTCGATGGAATTATTCGAGAAATCAGCGGAGATAAGTCGCTTTGCGTTGGCAAAGAGAATAGCGGGTATTTCTGCGATTTGATTGTTCGATGCGATTAAAGTGGTGATATTCTTTGCTTCGCTGAATATTTTCGCCTCGAGCGTTTTTAATTCCAGATTTGTCATGACGAATGTGTGCATCCGAGGAAATTGCTTGAAAAAATTTCTACCGAGTTTTGAAAATCGACAATTTCGAAAGTCTATCGTTCCCGGATAGTAATCGTACACATTTCGATGATGATTTGAACATTTAAATCGCGCCTGGTCAATAAAAACACCATTCTCGTTGTCATATTTGGCACAAATAAAGGTCACATTATCGATTCCAGTCACCACTGAACGATCATAGAAGTGACAATCACTAATATGCTCGTATTTTTCAACGCAGAACGCAAAAATCGGTAAACTTACGAACAAACACACTAACGCGTAGAATGTTTTTAAATCCATATCTATGTACGAGGATCGAAAGTGAATCTTATGAACGAACGAATGATTTGAAGAAGACTAAATTAAAACTGAATTTTGCAACAGAATAAGTGCGAAATGAATGTCTTTATGTCTAGTTTACTATAATATGTGTGGATTTATCACTCAAAGGAAGCACAAACTCCAAGGTTAACAAAATGTGCGACTTATTGTACAATACATACATGATAGAACAACAAAAATGGGGCAAAGCCCAATGTCGATAAATGTTCTTATGTGGACAATGAACATGAATATGACGATGTCGCAATTTGGTACGGAAAGTATAGGCTAACGAACGAGTGTCCACTGATATCGAATACTAGCATTTCTCGAAACTCTATTTAACCAATTTGTCCGGCCATTTGATAAAAAACGATCTCTGATGAATGAGTAAAACAAAAAACCACATGGTATTCCCACAAAAGAATGCAAAGTTTTCCCTGCAAACAATTCGAAGAAGCATCATATGTGCAACACAGATCGATGTGTTCGCATTTTTCAGCTGAACTTGTTCACTGGCATTCCCGAAACATTTGAATGTGGATTTTTTCCAATTAAGAAGAAATCTGTATTTCCATCAAAAATGTAGTTGCAGAATGATAATCTCAAATTGACTCGATTGGTTTGGGCTGATATTAATCAGCTTTGGCTAAAAATATAGCAGCAAAAAAAATTTCAATGTGAAAATTGATGATAACCCCAACGCATCAGTAGCAGCAAAAAGATGATATTCCTAAAGGCTATACAGTTATTACCTATTGATAGTGTTTTTATTGCAATAAATTAAAACAACTTCTTTATCTTGGCGCAAACATTAGTTTCAGTTGAACATTTATTTATCGATCATATTTTGAATAGTACATCGTTTCGTATGCTGATAATTAATTTAATAACAGTTCTTCCTTACAATATTCAACTTTCTCTGTTGCAGTTTGTCCAATACTAATTGATTTTTTCCAGTGACAAAAACTCTTATCAAAGATTCGCTTGCGATTCAATGTTACATACATGATCAAAAATATCAACATTATTATGCAAAGTAAAACCAACGTAATTTTTATGAGTATATCATCATTCGATTTGTGTTGTGATTTTGAATTATCATCAGATGATTCCTGGCCCGCAACAACTTCACAGTTAATTCCTCGGATGCTGCTTACTTGTGGATTCATTGAATGTGAGTCAATCGGAAGACGAATATCTTCCCAGTTGATGGATTCCATGAAATGTCTCAAATACGTGCAATTGAACCGATTGTTTTTTATATCAAGCGAGGTCAACTGTGGAAACAGAGAGTTTCGAAAACCATTCAAACTAGATAGTTGGTTTTTGCTAATATTAAGAGTACGAAGTTCGTATTGAATTGGATAGTGTAGCGTGAAATCCAATGTTTTCAAAGCGTTTTCCGACAAGTCCAACGTAACTAAATGCGATTGATGTAAAAGTGTTCCAGCTTGAACGGATGATGTGTTCGTTGGTTTCAAAAGGTGAATGAATGTGTCAATTTTTAAATCGCCAATCGAATTGAATGATAAATTCAATAGTTTTAATTCACTTAATTTATCGAAGGTGTGTTCTTTAATATGCGTTAAATTATTTCGCGAAAGATCCAAGTGTTCGATTTTAGTTGCACCCGAAAAAGCCACAGCATCGATTTGCACAATTTTATTGCAGGAAAAATCCACATGAGTAAGAGTTTTTGCATTCATAAATATCAGCGATGGGATCTCCTTTATGTTATTTTTTGATACATCCAAAAAAGTTAATTTCGTCGCTTGATTAAATATATCAGTTTGTAGAGCTTCCAAGCCCAGATCAGACAAATTGGCCGTATGCACATATTGAAAGTCTTTGAAAAAATTTCTCTTTAACTCATTGAACCGACAGTTTTCGAAGTTTATAGTGCCTGGCCAATTAAAGTGAACAGGTCGACAGAAATTTGAACAATTGAAATTATTGGGATCAGGGAAAACGATATTTTCACCATTAATTTCCGCACAAATGAATGTCACATTGTCATGTCCATACTTATTATTGCCACGGCTATGAAAACGGCAATCGGTAATATGCTCATATTTTTGAGCACAAAATACAAATGTCGGTAAACTTGTGAATAAACATACTAAAATGTAGAACGTTTTTGGATCCATATCTATGTACGAGAATCGAAAATGAATCTTATGAACGAACGAATGATTTGACGAAGACTAAACTAAGACTGAATTTCACAACAGAATAAGTGAAAAATAAAAGTCTTATTTACTATAATATGTGTGAATTTATCACTCAAAGGAAGCACAAACTCGTTAGCATAACGTGCGACTTATTGTACAATACATACATGATAGAACAACAAAAATAGGGCAGAGCCCAATGTCGATAAAATTCTTATTTGGACAATGAACATGAATATGACGATGTCGCAAATTGGTACGGAAAGTATGGGCTAGCCAACAAATGTCTACTGATAATAAATTCTTAGAGTACAGTATGTACATGATAGTACAACAAAAATGAAGCAAAGTCAATAAACTTCTCATGTGGATATTTTTTTCAAACGTTAATTTTATTGAAACATTTATTTGACAATAATTATCGAAGTTTGGATATCAAGGACATTTTTTATGCTGTTAATAATTATTATATTAATTATAATTAATTCAATAATAGCTCTTCCTTACAATATTCAACTCTATCTGTTGCTATTTGACCATTACTGGTTGAATTTTTCCAGTAACAAAAACTCTTATCAAAGATTCGCTTGCGATTTAATGTTACGAATATGACCAAAAATGTCAACATTATTATGCAAAGTAAAACCAACGTAATTTTTATGAGTATATCATCATTAGATTTGTGTTGTAATTTTGAATTATCATCAGATGATTCCTGGCCCGCAACAACTTCACAGTTAATTCCTCGGATGCTGCTTACTTGTGGATTTATTGAATGTGGGTCAACCTGAAGATGTATTTTCTCCCAATTGATGGATTCCATGAAATGTGTCAAATACGTGCAATTGAACTGATTGTTTTTGATATCAAGCGAAGTCAACTGTGGAAACAGAGCGTTTCGAAAACCATTCAAATCTGAAAGTTGGTTTCCACTGATGTAAAGAGTACGAAGATCATGTTGAATTGGATAGAATAGCTTAAAGTTCAATGTTTTTAAAGCGTTGTCCGACAATTCCAACGTAACTAAATGCAGCTGATGTGAAAACGTTCCAATTTGAATGGACGATATGTTTGTTCGCCTTAAATTCAAATGCTTCAGCTTCAGGACGTGAATGAATGTGTCAATTTTCAAATCGCCAATCGGATTGAATGATAAATCCAATAGTTGTAATTCACTTAATTCGTCGAATGTATGTTCTCCTATGCGGGTTAAATTATTGTGTGAAACATCCAGTTTCAACAAATTGAGCATAGATAGATTATGCGAATTGAGTTCAGTAAATTTATTGTACGATAAATTCAGCATTTTTAGGCTCGACAAACCCTTGAATACTTGTTCATCGAGGCTGCTAAGATCGTTTTGCGAGAGATCGATGGATTCGATTTTAGTTGCACCCGCAAAAGCCACAGCATCGATTTGCACAATTTTATTGCAGGAAATATCCACATGACTAAGTTTTTTGGCGTTCACAAAAATAAGCGATGGGATCTCCTTCAAATTATTTCGTGATACATTCAGAGTAGTTACATTCGTTGCTTCACTAAATATATCCCTTTGTAGGACTTCCAAACCAACATCAGAAAAATCGATCGTTTGCATATTCGGAAAGTCTTTGAAGTAATTTCTCTTCAACAGTTTAAACTGGCAGTTTTTGAAATTTATATTTCCTGGCCAATCAAAGACAAGAGAATTTGCATAGTTCTTGTTGGAGCATCTGAATCTTAAAGGTTGAGGGAAAACGATATTTTCACGACTAATTTCCGCACAAATGAATGTCACATTGTCATTTCCAAACGCCATACCAGCGTCATACAAGTAGCAATCGTTGATATGTTCATAATGCTTAGCAGAATTCACAAATTTCGTTCGAATTACTAAAACAAATACTAAACAACAGAATAATTTAAACTCCATGGCCACGAAGTGTTCAACTCAAATCGTGTACGCACATTCAGAATGTCAAATTAAGACTAGTTGCTATCATGCGTTTAGATTTTTTAAATGAGTTCGTATGTATCTATTCGTAAAATAGGAAGTTCAAACTTCACAGATAAAATGGGTGTCTGCCGGACACTGTCCGGTCATATTTTCACTACCATTTCTTAGAAAGAGAAAACAGATGCATCGTTTGTTTCAAAACAATTTTTAAGCCGCTGATAATAGTTTCCAGACTTTATCGTATCGAGTTTTTTTTAAAGTGAAACTTGATTCCATTCAAAACTGGACAGAATCTAATAATGAGGTTGCAAATTAACAGAAAAATGTTAACCACAATTCATTTTAAAATTATGATTGTCGAAAGTGCTGCAAACGTAATCATTGGTGATTCGACATCCAATCTAAAGAAACAATTGCAATCAATATCACAGAGCTATGTACTCAGCCTCTGAATCAATATAGTTAAAAGATTGGAAGCGACGAACAAGAGAAGAAAAATTACAATTTGTGTGATTCACCGGTTTGAAATGCGATTTGAATTTCTCATTAGAAAATTATTTACCCAAAATGGTAATCACCATTTTTTTTTGATAACTTTTTTGTATTTTGAATGAATATAAAATCAAGCGCTTTTATTATTATAAAAAGGCCTTGTCCATTAACTCGAAATCTATTTTTTTTATCACTAGTCAACATTTTCGTCAGGCGTTTCATATCAACATGGGTCGAAATTGCCACCATTTCCACTGTTTATCGGCGTTCTAATGAAAATTCATCGAGAATGAGTTCATTGATTTTGTTGCTACCATTTTCGTAGGGTTCTTCAAATCCTTTTTCTAAAACTGCCATTCAAAATGACCGAGGCACAATTTAAGCACTTCAACCGAAGACCCTCATCATATTTGCGATGTGACAAACCGAAAAAAACACAGAAGAAAGAAAATATAAATGGAAACGTTACGCTTGACCGTTTTCTGGTTGATTTTGTATTCTTTTGAAATACGGTTTCTTTTTCGGCATATGATATGGGTGATTGAATAGATTGACACAAAACCAAAATGGACAAATTTATAGAGAAATTCAAATCATGAGCGGTAGTCGTGACCACAACATGAGCCAATTAAATGGGCTTGCGTCATTTATTCTCCAATTTTTCTCACATCAACGTGAACATTCAATGGTTGAACAGTTCTAATGGGAATGTTCGGTTTTTTCTGTTCATGTGAATTGCTTCAAAAGCTAATAAACTGATGGAATAATCGAGTTCATGGCATAGAATAGGCCATTTGAGATAAATTGTATCGTTTTATTTTTCTCTCTCATCATAACTCTTTGGATATTATCGACAATTTCACCATTTTCCAAATGGCGCTTCACACTTTTATAGCGCTTCACATCCCACATAAAGGTCTTCCACAGCGATGATCCTTGACTAGATAATTTCCAATAAAATCCGTAGCAATTTAATTGCAATTTCGCTTGAAATATGATGTGGCTAATGGACAAAGAAAGCGTCAATGTCGTTCGGATTAGTCGGTTCAGGTAAAAACATTAAAAAAAACGAATCTCTGTGTGCAAAGTCGACCAAATTGTACGATATGCGATGGAATGATTCGATCCGATGGCGGATGGGGGCATTTTATGTTATCAATGAAGCTTTTATTATATGGACTTGAGTTTTATGTACTACATAAAAATAAATTATCAAAATGTCGTGAGTTATGAGCGCAAAGCAAGTGGAAAAAAAGAGGCACAAATCGAATGAAAAGCAGCAGCACCAGGACTAGCAGCAGCACCAGGACTAGCAGCAGCGACAGGAGGTAGTAATAATACGAAGCCGAAGAAAAAAAAATCGGTTGCCATAAATTTTCTAATCGCAAAAATAAATTCGGCATAGCGGAATAAAGAGGAGAGATAGAAAACGAAGAAAGGCGCATAAATAATTTTTTATTGGTGCCTTTTATGGATTTTATATCGGTTGAAGGCAATCATTAAATGCGAGAGTCGCTTTTTTTTTCTCTGTCTCTCCATATTTTCATTTGGCCCATTTGTATTCATAATTCATTGTTTATTTGTCATTATTTCACTCTTTTTCGTCTATCTGCCTCTCGTTCTAACTGTACCGGTGTGTGACTGTCGTCCCGCACTCATTCGTGTGCCATTTGTTATCGATAACAGTTTAACAGGAGCGCATAAAATGTTGTCGCTTTTGATATGTCTCTCTCTTTCTCTCATACTTTCCCTTCTTCTCGTTCCGCCTCTCGCCCACTCTATCCCGCTCTCTCGTGCCATCAAATCGACTATAACCTATTGGACCATTGTGTTTTGGGGTGAAAATAATTCAAAATTATTGTTTGGCAATTCAGTTTTTACGAGCGACAACCAGTAAATCAACGAACGTTGTCAAAGCGATCGTGAAAGATTGTGAATTATTATATCGCATGTGCTTTTCTCTCTCTTTCTTTCGGTGCAATGGGTTTTGGTTGGCGAGAATCTGTTATCCATTGACATTGTGCATAAAATGAAATTTACACGTATGGTGAATGCTCACATAAAATTGCGATGCCATTTTCCGGCGCTCTTTTTTTATGTTTATGCTATCAAATGACTGTGTTTATGAGTTATTGTTTGGTTGAAGTTTGTCTGTTCGTTGTTCAACGTGATAAAAGATTAAACACAAACAAGCCGATCCACGGCAGGAAAGGGAATATGTTTTGAAATGAGAAAAAAAAATTATAGACAAAAAAATTGATTAGAGTTGACATTTTTCTTTCGACAGACGAGTCACATGCACATGATCCCAGTATAAGTTGATTGCGTGCGTTTCTGAATATTTTTGTCCTGAAATATCAAATATCATTTGCGCATTTTCGATTAAGTCATGTTTTATGTTTATGTGTTTCTCTCTTTTTTTGCAGGCGGCAGTTAAGTTACTTTTTATGGCCCGTTTGCCATGATAAACACTAACCCCTTATAAATATCATTATTGCCAAAGATCGAATTTTTAACGTTTATTCAACCCGATTAAATTGCTCAAACACCAAAACCGAAATTCAATACTCCCCACCGAATACAGCACGAAAAAAAATGAACTTCGACTTGCGCTGCGGGAAATTGGCTAATGCTTTTTGGGTATGTGTGTGTGTGTGTGTGTGTGTGAGAGAGCAATCGAAAGTAAGTGTTCAATTTGAAGTTGCCAAATGTTTATACGTGATGAATCAAGCGATTCACCAAACTTGATACCGAAAATTAGATCATAAAATGCAAACGCATTACCTTCAGTTTTATTTTTGATTAAATTTATTTCGATTTTTATATCGTTGTGTACACTCCGAGCGAAGATGATTTATTGAAATGTACGTGCATTGATGAGCGCATCCCTTTGAAAAGCAGTATTTCATTGCGTTACAAGCGTAAAATTCACTAAACGATGTCGATATTTTCCTTTTTGTCATGCTACTGCTGTTACTGCAACCTTGTTCCTTCTTCTCATTTTATCCTCCCATTTGCCATCAGCGGCAACGACGACGACGACGACAATTGCAAAATGCGTAAGCGAATACGATGATGGTCGATGTAGCAAATATGGTTATATGCGATTTTATTATTGCTGGCATATGAGAGTGAATATGTGTGCATATCCCTAGTTCAGTCGTTGTGTTTGTGTGTACATTGTTCCATTGTGTAACATAGTGATAAATTGATGAACGTCGACATTAAATACGCCCCATGGCACTACTATTATATTTTTATTTCAATGTTTGTATAAAATATTCGCTCGTTTTTTTCTCTTCTTTCCATTGCACTTCCTTTTCTATTCTGTCTCTCTTGTCTAGTGCTTAGAGTGAGCGCACATGCGATCGGAGAAGAAAAAAAACAACAACCAGCAGACTATTCAGCGAACGTGCTCACTATTATATAGACAAGGTTGAATTATTGAGTCATTTGTTTTCTTTAGGATGTGACTGGATATATGTCGATATAGATTTTCGATGGGGTGCGAAAATTTTCAAGGATAAATGTAATTGATTTTTGTGTCGAGAGAGTGAAAATACACGCAATGCCTAACAAAAAGGATAACCAACTGACGGGAATACACGATTGAATGACACAAAATATATGTGCTCCGTTTTAATGACTCTTTTAATATTTTGTCATTTTTTTCCCTTTCGCTAGCTCACTCATACTCTCACTTCACCAAATCGTAGCGAGACCATTTTTTTTTTCATTGTATGTTTTTATTCCATTTTTTGTGTATTCATTTCCCAAATGCTGACGAAGTTTCACCCAGAATACACACATTTTTTTTGGGTGAAACAAAAAAAAAAATACGAAAATTTATAGTTCCAAGGATATTTACATGAAAATTCACTATGTGACTTTAATTTATGATTATGTGCACTTTTGGTATTTGGAGTTGGTTTTTTTTTTCTTCTGGTGTGTTGTGTGTCGAGGCGAGCAGCTGAATTAATATGCGATTTGCTACTCACATAACGACCGACAGCCCGGCATTTTGAGCGAACGAACGCCTGCGGCCCAGCATTTAATGGAACAAACAGCATAAATTGTTGTGTTCACTCATCCCTTTTTCTCGGTCTCTCTCTCTCTCTCTCTCTCTCTCTCTCGCTCTGTGAGTGCGTTGAAATGGTGACTTGAAAAATGGCCCGAATTCGAAACGGCGATGATGATTACAATCATCCAGTTTGTTAGCTTTCAGCAGTGAAAATTACGTGGTGTTTATTAGTATTTCATTTGACAAAAAAATATTATCCTGAAGCCAGTAAAAAAAAGGATGTGATTTGTCACTAAATCATGTAGCCAATAGTCACACTGAAAATCTGTTCGAAACGAATTCGTTATGGAAATGCCGTTTGGTTTGTTTGATGTGTGTGTGTCTCCTGCGTTGTTACAAAACAACACAGTCTCCTCGTCAAAAGGCACAAGATTAATGGGCCAATTTATTATATCTTTTTTCGATTTTTAATACGTGTACTTTTG